TATTCACTCAGGGAGCAGCTCCTGCCATACCTTATCCTCTTGTCCTGGGCAGGTTTCTTCCTAGCATCTTTCATGATCGGACAGAAAGACATTTGTCTGTTTGCTTATTATCTGTCTTCCCCATTAGATGATAAGCTCCATGGCAGTGGGGGTGCTTTTGACAGTGATGTGCTTGAATCCCCAAGGCCGAGAACAGTGCCTAGAACAGAGCAAACGCTAAACTCAGAGCTGATGAATGAAAGACTTGCCTCTCTCTAGAAAACTACTTCTCACCTCGAGGTCCAAGAGTATACTTCCCACCCCCCAAGAGTATAAATTTTAAATAAATCCCCTATTTTTATTATGACTATTCTTTTTTATTTATTTATCTTAAAACTTTTATTGATTTATTTGACAGAGAGAGAGAGAGAGTGCTCACAAGCCGGGGGAGTGGCAGGGCAGAGGGAGAAGCATACTCCCTGCCCAGCAGGGAGCGGACGTGGGGCTCGATCCCAGGACCCTGGGATCATGACCTGAGCCGAAGGCAGACGCTTAACCGACTGAGCCACCCAGGTGCCCCATGACTATTCTTTTTTAATACAAAAGCAAAAGATGTTGCTTTGGGGATTGTAGATGGTATAGTCTGGTTAAGATGTGGGCTGCAGGGGCGCCTGGGTGGCTCAGTCGTTAAGCGCCTGCCTTTGGCTCAGGTCATGGTCCCAGGGTCCTGGGATCGAGCCCCGCATCGGGCTCCCTGCTCCGCAGGAAGCCTGCTTCTCCCTCTCCCACTCCCCCTGCTTGTGTTCCCTCTCTCACTGTGTCTCTCTCTGTCAAATAAATAAAATCTTAAAAAAAAAAAAAAAAGATTTGGGCTACAGAAAAGCCATAATCGCCCATTTCAGGAATTCCAGGTCCTTCATCAGCCGGCATCACCTAAGGTCAGCCTTTCGAACTAGCGAAGGTCTCTCTATCTGGTATTTTTTCTCATAATTTGGGGCATTTTCCAGAAAGTGCTGTCAGTCTTGCGTTTGGAGTTATAGCCACCAAACTACGGACTCATTCTTTCCCTTTTAATTAAAGCACACTTAACTGTTTGCTAAATGCCTGTTGCTGGGGAATAGTGGGACAATCGATATTATCCCTGTGCTCAGTGAGCTTTGGTTCCTTTGGGGGGAGCTCAGACACCTCCATGACCAAAAGGCCATGTTCAGTATGAACTATGTGGGCTTCTGCTTGAACACAGAGGAAGGAGCACTCATTTGGGGGCTTTAGGTATCAGGGAAGGCTTCCTGGAGGAAGTAGCATATGAATGAGACTTCAAAAAGCAGAGAGGAAGGTGGGCTGGCCAGGCTTAGGGAGCAGCTGTAGTAAAGGGCAGTGGGAGTCAATAAGAGGCCCAGAGAGGAAAGGAATTGTTTGGGGGACACAGTGGAGGGTCTGGTTGGACCCAGATCGGTGAACTGCAGGAAGTAGACTGTAGAAGTGGGATGGAGTTGCTTTGGGAGGGCCTTGAATGCTAGGCTTTGTAGTTTACGTTATCACAAAGGCAGCAGGATGCTGAAACAAGTCTTAGAGCCAGGGATGCTCTGCACACAGAGGGATTTCAGAAAGGTTATTCTGATGGCTGTGTCATCTGCTGGGCTGGACCAAGAAGGAATTCAAGGGAGAGAAGTTTGGGAAGGGAGGGACAGACAGATAGGAGACTCTGAACTGGGGAGATCCAGGAGGAAAATACTGGGAAAATGGATTTTTAGACAGTTTATGATGGGAGGGTCTTTGCAGTTTGGTGACCTCAAGAGTGAAATGAAAGCTGGGGAAGGGATAATGAAGGGTGACTTAAGGAGGCTCTTGTGCTTTAATAACTAGGGGAGTGATGACATTATTGCCAGAAACATGAAACTCATTTCGGAAATTTCAAATGGGGCAAAAGGAGGATTTGTTTGGGGGTGCAGACACGAGATGGAGGTGGTGGTGGGACATCTGGCGATGTATCCAGCAGGCCATTAGTAACCAGCCAGCCTTTGGGAGTCCCTTGGCCAGCCTGGGTACAGGAGATCTATGCCCCTAAAGATCAGCAGAAAATACTGGCCTAAAAGATACGGAGAGATTAGGCTGAATCGAACCTTTGATTATGAGTTCTCTGCTCTCCTGATTTAACAGAGGGTTCCATGGACCCCATCTCCTTGGAATTGTGTGTTCCGTGCCACCTTTGTGTGTGATGTGGCTGGAGTCCTGCATTCTCATTAGCTAGAATTTACATTAGTGTCCAAGTGGTCAAACCCTCCCTCCCCCCCCCGCCCCTCATCTCGTGGAAACTGGCCTCTGTTTCCTGAGTCTCTGAGAGCATGGCAGGGAAGGTGGGAGGCTTGTGCATACTCTCAGGGACTGTGATAATTGACCCCTTTGGCTTGATCCAAGCCTCAGGAAACCCCTACTAAAGAGTTCATGGAAGCAGAGGGTGGAGCAACCTCACTCATCATTTTTATGTTCACAAAGCCAATTTTGTAACTTCTGTTCCCCTTAGAGGCTGCTTTCAGTCTTCACTTCCCCTGGATGGGCATACAGGAAGTAGGGAGTGGGGCAAAGGTTGTTCACTGACTTGGGAGAAAGCACAACAACGCAGAGGAAGGAGACCAGTCAAGGGCTTTGCTATTATTGAGAGACTTGCCAGGCAAAGCCCATTCATTGAGATGGAGCCAATGCACGGAGCCCTGACAGACACCAGTTCTGGGTCCAGACTGGGTAGGAGGGGTGGTGGCCTGCAAGATGACCCCAACATTTTCTGTAGGGCCTGGCCTGCCTTTAAGTGACTCAGTGTATTTCCCAGGACTTCAGCCAGGAGGCAGGGACAAGAGTTGCAGACTTTGTTGTTTCCCCTGGGGTGGGACTGCTGGGTCTTGGCAGGAGGTCCACAGGAAGGCCTCCCTGCCTGATTACCTCTCTGCCTATGATCTCATCGGTCAGAGCACAGCTTCTGGCCAGGGAAGCAGAGCCCCAGATCCTGAAAGAGCTTCCGCAGTGTCCTCGAGGTTACTGGGCTTGGACAAAGACCTGCTTGGGTTTAAATTCCAGTTCCTCGGGGCCTCAGTTTTGCAATATATATATACATATATCCGGTGCTTGTGAGGACTGAGGGAGGTAATTTATTTAACGCATTTAGCACAGTGCTCTAGCCCAATAAATGGTAGTTATTATTAATAGACTCCCTAATTGAGTGGCAGTATAGGAGTGCTTAATAGTGTGGTTTCTGGAATTAAACAATCCAGACTAGCTGGGTTTGGATCTTGAGTCCTCTTTTTTTCTAGTTGATTGACCTTGGGCAATGTCATTTTGCTGACTCTCGGTTTCCTCATTGGGAAAATGGGAATTTTAACAGCACCTATTGGGGCGCCTGGGTGGCTCAGTCATTGGGCGTCTGCCTTCGGCCCAGGTCGTGGTCCCAAGGTCCTGGGATCGAGCCCTGCGTCGGGCTCCCTGCTCTGCGGGCGGCCTGCTTCTCCCTCTCCCACTCGCCCTGCTTGTGTTCCCTCTCTCGCTGTATCTCTCTCTGTCAAATAAATAAAATCTTAAAAAAAAAAAAAATAACAGCACAGGGTCGTTGTGTGGATTAAATTATGCAAACCAAGCCTTTCTCATAATTGCCAGTGCATACACATGGCAACAACAAAAGGGCACTACTCTTCCTGTCATTATCATGAACTTTTCAACCCTCTATCTTTCAGAGTCTAGCTCAAGGTACCATCCTTCCTGCAAACCCCATTCATCAAGTCTCCCAATTTTTATTGATTTGGACACCTCTTACAATCATTCTTGCATTGTTCCCATTTAGGTCCATTTCCTCAAAAACATAACTGGACCTCCCAACCTCACCTTTCTTTGACCTTGAGGCCTGTCTTTCACATGATTATCACATCCAAAAAACCCACAGATCCAATCCCGAGAGCACTGACATCAGAGATAACTACACTGCACATTATGCAGTAAAAGTTCCTAGAGTTGCTTTTTAAAACAGCTCGGTTCAAGTTTCCGCTCCCCAAGCCCTTGCTCATCCTCATCTCTCCCCTTTCTTTTCTTTTTTAAAATTAAAAAAAAAATTTTTTTTAAGATCTTATTTATTTACTTGACAGAGAGAGACACAGCGAGAGAGGGAACACAAGCAGAGGGAGTGGGAGAGGGAGAAGCAGGCTTCCCACCCAGCAGGGAGCCCGATGTGGGGCTCATTGTGGGGCTGGATCCCAGGACTCTGGGATCATGACCTGAGCCAAGGCAGACGCCTGACGCCTGAGCCACCCGGGCGTCCTCATCTCTCCGCTTTCTGAGCTGAGTACCCCCTCAGCCCTCTTCCCTCTCAAGTCCCCTACGATGCCAGGCTTCAGGGGCCCCAGGGGGATACACCCACAGATAAATGTACGCTTAGATATGTAAAATACATAAGTGGATGTATTTGTATTCCCCTCAACGATCAACAAGTATCTGAGCGGCCACTTTGCGTCCACGCTCTCTGCTGGGATGAGAAAGACCTAGGAGGGTCCAGATCGCATGGAATTTACAATCTGCCGGAGGAAGACAAGTCCGGGCTACAATGTCAGCTGGAGCGAGCGCCGTAAACACCACGCAGGTCTCAGCGGGAATGACTAGGGGGAGGGGATACCCCTGACATTCCGCGGGGTGCTCGGGGGTGCGCCCCGAGGTGAGATCGGAGCCGAGAGCCATGTTACAAACGAGCGCCCTGAGACACAGACACTCGAAGGACATCGGTGGCTGAAAGACGGGGGGGCGACAGGGTGTCACCCCCGCCCCCCCGTGCCCGGGGGCGTCGCTTCCCCAAAGCGCTCAGAGTTTTCGGGGGAACCGCGGGGCCGGGGGCGCCTGCGCAGAGGCCGCCGCCGGCCTGACGTCAGCGCGCCGGGCCCGCCCCGCCCCCGCCCCGCCCCCGCCGCGGCCCCGCCCCGCCGCGCGCGCGCTGGCGCGCATGCTCCGGGCCCCGCCCCCGTGCGTCACAGAATGGCCTCGGACACCCGGGCGGCCCCTGACGTGTCGGGGAGGAGCCGGGCGCCGAGGTGCGCGGAGTGGAGCTGTGCGCTGCGGAGGGGAGCGGAGCTGAGCGGCTGGGCGGGCCTGGCCAGGCCAGCGGAGCGGAGCCGTCGGTCGAGCGGCGGCGAACATGCGCTTTTGACGCATTGGAGGTGAGCCGGCGGTGCGGGGCCGCTCGCGAGGGGGCCGGGCCGGGTGGCGGCGCCGAGGCCTGTGCCCCGGGCGCCCGCCGGGCCCGCGGGTCCGGGGCGGCCGTTCCAACCGCTCTAACTGCCTCCGCCCCCACCCCTGCCCGCCCTGGTCCGAGGTGCGGCCCGCGGGGGGCGGGCGGCCGCCGGGGGGGGGCGAGCCCCGCGGCCGGGCCCGGGCCGGGGCGAGGGGTGCGCGGACGCGGCCCGGGGCGCTGGCGGCAGCGGCGCGCCCAGCCCTCCCCCGCCTCCCTGCGAGCGCCCTCGGCGGGCAGGGCCGTCGGCCGGCTCGGCTTCCCAGCTCTCGGGGCCTGTCCCCGCTGGGGGCCGCGGCGGAGGCGGCCCCCGTCGGGCTCGGGTGGCAGCCCCGTGACTCCCCGCCCGTCCTGGAGTTCGCGGAAGTGTCCGCAGACGGGTTCGGGTTGCCTGTGCTCCTTCTTCTTTTCCTCCTCCTTTGCTGGCAACCTTTTAAGTTTTGCCGAGGCGGCCAGGGTTCCTTCGGTGCCGATGGTTACAGTCCAGCTCTGCAGCGCCTTGACGCGTTTCGCCGCACTCGCTCCTCGCCGGCTCTCGAGCCTCGTCACCCTGTGCTCGTGCCTGCCACTGCTACCTCCGTTTGACGGACGGGCAGAGGGAGCCCGGCGGGGGCGGGTGGGGCGACTAAGTGATTGACTCACACAGTAGTTTGGGTTCTACCGGTGCGTGAACGGCTTCGTTTGCATCAGAATTTACGCCTCTAGCCTCGCAATCACGGTGTCTGTGTGCGTGTGGATTTTATACCCTGCCCAGCTGGAAAGCACAGCAGAAAATTTGGCTTGCCGAAACCATGCCGGAAGCTAGTAGGAGAGATGCATTCCGGTATTTTTGGGCAGACTCACCTGGGTTAAGAACTGCTACTCGGCCGTAAAGAAAATCTCCCTCCGTCTGAAACGTTCATGGGTCGCTGGCTAATTGCTCTGTCTGATAAATTGTGTCGCTCTTAATCCACTTCTGAAATAGGGTGATGGCTTTGCTAAATCATGAGGTGCGGTGCATGCAGCATTAAGTCATGGGTTGAAGAGAAGTAAAGGGGAGCGGAGGAAGATCTCTCCTCTGAATTTATATTAAAACCAATATTTAAAATTGAGAGATTATAAGTAACCAAGCCTCGGGCTGGCCCTGGTTAGAAGGTGACCTGGTCCACATAGCATTTGCTAAATCTTACCGAGCCAAAAAAAAGGAAAGAGATCAAACAAAACAAAACAAAACAAAACAAACAAACAAAAAAAAATAAATCTTACCGAGCTGTTCTTTTTCAGTTCAGCGTAGACTTGTTAAATAAATTGAAGTTGGATAAGGGAGATTAAAAAATAAGTGGAAACCTCAGTAAAACCTTAGATCTGGCTTTCATGTCATCTGCAAAACTTATTTTTATTCTCATTTTAAGTCATGCTGAGATAAATGTGGTTACTAAAGCTTAAAATGACTGCTGACATAAGTTCCTGATCACTTCGTAAGGTAGAAGAAGAGATTTGATGGTCAGGGCTGAAAGGGAGTGGTATTTGTGATCACCTTTGAAAAGGAAAAGATTCTGTAAATGTCACCTTCAGGAGAAGTAGATGATTTTGGTTCAAAGGCACGTGTCTTCTACAGTGAGTTCCAGAAGAACTCTGTCAATCTCAGTCGATACTACAACTATTAATAGGATGGCAATATCATAGGAGATGGATTTTCTTACCATTGCACAAAAAGTAGCTTGTGGGCAAGTATAACATTTTGGACAGGCTGTTTTACACCCGAATGAATTGATTTGTCAGTTGCTGACCATGTGAAGGTCACATACAGTATGATAATGCCCCACGTAGAAGTTGTCGTACTTTTGAAAGATCCATGCTCCCGTCTGTATGAGACATGGTTTGAGGGGAGATTTGGGTAGCAGGGGAGAGTACATAATTTCTGCTTTCATTTCAGCCTCATAAGATTATCGATGTATCATTAAAGCTTTTTTTTTTTTTAAGATTTTTTATTTATTTATTTGACACAGAGAGAGAGACAGCTAGAGAGGAAACACAAGCAGGGGGAGTGGGAGAGGGAGAAGCAGGCTTCCCGCTGAGCAGGGAGCCCGATGCGAGGCTCCACCCCAGGACCCTGGGATCATGACCTGAGCCGAAGGCAGACACTTAACAACTGAGCCACCCAGGCGCCCCTCATTAAAGCTTTTTAAAAATTTTTTTTAGCAGTGAATTTTTCCATATTGGCTAACTTTCTATAACCTTAACATCTCCAGTTACATAGTTTCAAATAACACAGTGAACACATCCTCCCACTGTAACCTGAAGCAAACTGAACAGACTGTCTTTACAGCCCAGAGAAGATGTTTGAATATCTGCAGTGGTAGCAAATTTGGGGCATTTGTAAAAATTCTGATTTTTGGAAAGAGTATTTCTGACGGATAAAATCAGAGTGATAAAGCTGGATAATATCAATCAGGACGCAGTAAAAATGAGGTGTGACCACAAAGAAATAACTTTTTTTTTTAGTTTTTAATCTGGCTCTTCAAGGCTATTCCAAAAGAGGTTTTAAAAAATGTTTTCAGGAATGGTGGTATCACTGGACTATGCTTCTGGAAGAGATTAAGGAATCATTTGTATGTTATAAATTCTGAAGCATTTATTTTGTGGTCATACTTCAGAGGTTCACTACTGAACCAATATTTTTTTTTCACAATTTAATAAAATTTATGCAGCATTTACTATGTGCCAGGCTCTGTACTAAGTACTTAACAAATATTAATTCCCCTAATCTTCATAACAGCCCTATTTTAATTTTTATCCTCATTGTGCAGGTGAGGAAGAGGGAGGCACAGAGAGGTTGAGTAACTGGCCCAAGGTCATCGGGCTAGTGAATAGAGAGGAGTCTGGCCCCAGGGTCTGAGCTCTCCACTACTATGTCCTGTTGCTTCTACCCCTTGTTCCCAGGTTAAATGTTTTTAATTGGTTTCTTCTGGAAAAGGTGATGGTCATTTTAGTAAAAGGTTTCAGTTGTAGATTATACTATTTGAGGGGCCAATAAAAGTAGCCTGTTAATTGGAAAAATTGGAGTCAACATTCAGTTCGCATAAGATTCAGCAAGAAAATAGGAGATGCACATGTGAAATAAAAACACATTAAAGTAATTTTGCCAGCGTTATTTGGCACTGAACTAAGTAGTTGGATAGGGAGGACACAAGAGATAGAGCTAGATATTGAAAAGGTTTCGCAGGAAAGTCTATTTATAACCCGAGTCATCAGGGAATACTGATGGAAACACTGGTGATTGTGTTAAGAATATGACCCTATTTAGGCAACAAAAATCAAGGATAAATGGATACTTTATAGTATACCCAGAAGTGTAAACAGATAGATTCTTAGGGAATACTACTTAGCTAAGTGCTCTTCAATGTCATAACTACTTTATAAGTCTTCTGATACTGAATAAAGGGCCAAAGTCAACAGAGCAGCCTCACCCAGGAAAGTTTCACATTGGGCATGTGAATGATAACATTTTTAGATTTAAAACTGTGGAGCCAATCCTTCTACAAATGGAGTTTGTAGAAAGATTGGCTCCGCGTTAAAATACATTCAAACAAATGTTAGATGCAAGGATAGCATCTAATAGTCATTATGAACTTCGTAAGGATTCTGGCCTGTGGACCACACAATCCACCACTAGCAGTTGTTGCCTAGTAACAGGAAGAGTGCTGAAAACTTTAGAAGTATCCTCCCCGTGAATAAAATGTTGCTATACTGAAGAGGTACCAGTCACCCAATTCCAGAAAGGCATATATGTAATCTAGAGAAGGTCCAAAGCATGACGGTGACATAGTTAAGGGACCAAGATGGTGGCTGCCAGGTGACTATAAGCTACAAAGACAAGAAATATGCACTTTGAGAAGACCAAGGCTGAGAAGTATTATCATCAAAGTACAAAATTTTTAGAAAGGCTTAAAAAATAATACAAACCTGTGCACCAAAGCCTAGAACCTTACAGAGGAGCAGCGCGCTAAAGTTATGGCAAATTTAAGGCCAAAAATAGGAGAATCACCGATGGCTATAAAATATGGAACTTGTCTCAAATGCATAAAGTAATATAAAATCAGCAAAATAAGAATTTTAGATTTGAGATATTTAATTTAAAAATGTTGTATGTGAGGGTCAGGACCTTCTTATACTGTGTTTTCATTTCTTTGGAGTTTTCACTTGCTGTTTTTCAAGATTTTATTTTTAAGTAATCTCTACCCCCAACATGGGGCTTGAACTCACGACCCCGAGATCAAGAGTCACACGCTCCCCTGGCTGAGGCAGCCAGGTGGCCCCACTTGTTTTTTTTTTTTCTTATTGACACAATAGCGATGTGCTTTCATCACAGCCTCCTGTATCCGGCTTTCCAGACTGTTAAATGGGACTCCTCGTTTTCCCTGGAGCCGTCCATCTGGCTGAGGGTGGGGACGTCTCTTCCTTGCAGTCCTGAGTTGGGGCCACTGTTTCTTGCACCCGTGCTGCCCTGTCTCGGTTGTCTCTGCCTCCTGTAACTGTCTCAGGAAGTGCGTGGGAGGTCACCCTCCTGAGTTCTTGCAGGAGGAAAAAAATTCTCTCGTTTGTCTGAATTACCTGTTTCCTCTCAGTTCGATAGGTGCTAGGGTTTTCTTATTCATGCTCCTGGGTTTTCTCATTTGTCTGGTGGTTCTTGGTTGTCCAATTATATTTAAGACTGAAGGGCTGGACAGTGATTATTTTAGGTAGCAAGTGTGTGGTGGGGTCTCCAAGACTCTCCGCAGTGAGTCCCTTCCGCTCCCTGTTCTTTGGGGTGGAGCCTGTATCGAGCTTTTTAAGTGACTGTGAATGGGGCTTGGCGTGCGTCAAGACTGGTAATTTTGTCTAGCCGAGAATGATAGGTTTTATAATCCTGATTTAATACATGGTGGTGCACTGTGAGGTAGAAATAAACTACCCACAACTTTTTTTGCTCACGCCATTCCTGAAATAGGAGTTTAGATCTTAATAAAGGAAAGCAGTACTTTGGAAAGTAAAGAGGGAATAATGAGAGCAAGGTCATAAGTCATTTCAAACATTTGTTGAATTTCTACCGTGTTCCGTGTTTCTGGTGATGCAGAGGGATTTATAAATAAGACACTGGTCCTGCCTTCAAGGAACTAGCTGGAGAGACTTAGCCTTTTATTTTTCTATAAATATTTCTTATTTGAGCTAGAGTAAGTAGCAGCGAACTTTGCTTCTTGTGTCCCTGTGATCTTCATAACATTTTGTAAAACCCTAATTTACTGGGTTGTGTGTGTATCAGAAACTGAGTATTTGAGCTGCTCGTTGATATGTGGTTGCCAGTATTGAAACAATGAGTGCCTCTATCCAGATTTGAGGACCCGTGCCCATGAGCTTCTTTAGGGCTGGATTCATAGACTTCAGATGTAACCAACATTTTATTTATTTTTTTTTTGGCGTTTTGGAGAAAGACCTTATGGAGAGCATTCAAGGGACATAGTGATGGTTGCCTCACCTTGAGATGCCTCTGTGCTGTAATTAAATCTTCATCTGGATTGTTAATATGAAATCTGCCCCTTCCCTCAAGGAGACTGAGGCAGGAACTCTCAAGAGTGATTGAAATCACACGGTGATGCCTTCAACGGTTTTGGATAATCTTTTGAAATACAAATACTTCTGCTGGACCAGCCTCATCCTCACTGACACCTTCCTACACATTGTAGCTATAAGTAAGATTACCCCTACAGCTGGGGAAATGGAATGGGAATTGGGAACTTTGATGAAGGGATAGGATTGAGAGATTGATCCGTACTATTTAGTAGTCCGTACACAGACTTGAAGAAACCTGTCATCGGGTCCAGACTCTCATTAGATGAGAAAACGGAGACCTTGAGAGGTTAAGCAGATGGCTTAAGGAGTTGAATGGCAGAATCGGAACCCTAGAGCCCAGTCTGGGCAGGACTCCACCCTCCATGAGGTTTACATTTTCATGTGCTGTGGGCCCTGAGGGCATGTCCAAGAGTAGAGTGATACAGCCAGGAGTGTGCCAGTGGAGGGCTGATGGCATTAGAGGGGGGCCTGCCTGAGGCACTAAGTACTCGTCCAATACTTAACAATGTCTGACACGGAGCAGTTGCTCAGTAAATGCTCGAGAGCATTAATACTTTCTCTGAGCCAAGTGTTAGCTTGGTGCCATGAAGGGGGATGCAAAGCATGTCAAGATTCCACCTCTTTTCAAAGAACTCATAGGCTGATTGGTAATTGCAGATAATTGGAAGATTGACTAACATGCCAAAAGTCAGAGAAGGTGGTGTGGTCAGGAAGGACTCGGCTGAAACAGAACACGGCAGTCAGCTTCAAACTAAGTGTATCAAGTTATACTTTAGTATTATGCGGCGAGAAATCACTCTCGTACCTCTTTGGCGTACTCACCCTGAAGCAGGAGTTTCCGGTCTGTGACTTCTTGCTCAGCCTTTATGAGTGGATTGTGCTGTGTGAACTCTGCATTTCTATTAATTTACTTCCAAAGCTGGTCTTTCGTTCTTGCTGCCCCGGTATGGATTAGGTTGATTCAGTTTTGGTTTAGTTTAGCTAATACTGTTGAGTATCCGCTGTTGTGCAGACACTGTGCTGGGTTGGAATAAGAATAATACACAGCCTAACGGGAACACAAGTTCAGGCAAATGCATTGCTGTGTGGTAAGTCTTTTCAGGAAAGCAAGTGTGGGGTATAATGATAGGCAAGAGTGTCGGAGATTTCAGTGCTGTCTGGGTTAGGGCAGGAAAGGCTTTCTGGAAAAGATGACAGCTAGGTTTTAAAGGACAAGTAGGAGCTTTCCAAATGCACAAGGAAGGGAGAGCCACTCCGGGTAGAGGAAACATCCAGACCTGAAACAGAATGTCATGTTAAGACCATTTTGAACAGTATTGCTGGGATATAAAGTGGGATGCTTCAGGAGGGGGTTGTACAACGGAGGGAAGGCAGACGTTTTGCTCTAGGTATGAATGTAGAGTGAGCCCTGTGTCCTTGGTATTTCATTTTCTGGCCAGCCAATTGGGGTTTTTAGGTGGTCAGTCCAAATGTGAGGTCATAGATATTCCAGTCCGCCCCCACCCCCCGCCCCCAGCGCTTTGGGAGAGCAACCAAGATGAGAGGACATGGACGTTGGGGATTAGTGAATTTACGGAGGAAGCTTTGGACTTAAGATAATTAAGTTTTCACAAATGTAATAATCGTAAATTATTCAGAATGTGGTACCTGATTTGCTAGTGTGGTCACCTGGCATGAAATGTTTCTGATAGGTCTTTTGAAGCAATTGTACAGCAGGGAAGGACATGCAGTAGGAGTTTCAGCTCGAACAATAAACTTGTTTCTGTCACCAGATTCCCAGAAGACCAGCTGGCTGTAACCCAGCTGCTGGGGCCAGTTCACTTGGAACCTGGTGCCTCCATCCAAAGTACCTCATGTGCCTTTATACCCGAGCACTTTGGGGTTCTCCTGTCCTGACGTCATCCACGGTACAGGTGGGCCCTGAGGTTGGGGCAGTAAAGTGATTTGTGTGTCCAGTTATTCATTCTCAGAACCTGTCATCTTTAACTCCCTCCAGAATGCTGATTTAATATCCCAGATTTTGTACTTTCATTTAGATTTCTGTGTTCTCTATTTGTTTTTTAAATTTTTAAATTTCATAGGGTATATTTCATTTTTAATAGCTGCATTGGTTGATTGATTGATTGTAAGCTCTCCGCCCAGTGTGGGGCTTGAACTCACAACCCCAAGGTTAAGAGTTACACTTGCCGCGGACTGAGACAGCCAGGTGCCCCTGTTCTCTATTTAACTTAAAAATTTGTCTTTAATATTTCACAGGCTTTCTTGATCATGGATGGTGAAGATATACCAGATTTTTCGAGTTTAAAGGAGGAAACTGCTTACTGGAAGGAACTTTCCTTGAAGTATAAACAAAGGTAATATTGAAAAGCATCCTGAAAATAGGGGAGGGTATTTGGAATATACCAACTCTAACATATGTATTATTTTATTATTTATTGATTTGTTTATTTACTTCTTACTGAAGCTGGGATTCTGGAAATAGTCATAGCATTGCTGTCTTTAAATAGTATGAAAATGCCATGAATCTTTATTACTCAAATTATTAAAACAGTAAGAAAACTTCACATTTGTGATTTCTTCTGGGAGTTTACCTCCTTTTAAGCTTATTGGGTTTGGCCATCCTTGGCCTGCTGTGTGTGCCCTGATTCCGCCTCCTTGTGTGGTCTTTGGAGATTCCAATAAGCTGTGAAGGGCACGCACAGCGGACTCTAGTTCTCTCCAGGCCAGTGTTGTCAATGTCAGGAACCAGCGAAGCTGTGAAGGGGGCGAGAAGAGTTTCAGGGGTTATGGAGCATTTTATAAGGTCTCACTTATTTTAAGTAGTTGGGGAAACTTTAACCTTTGAGCACCAAAATTTGTCTTAGATTTCTTTTTATTTTTTTTAAGATTTTATTTATTTGAGAGATAGAATGAGAGAGAGAGAGAGGACATGAGAGGGGGGAGGGTCAGAGGGAGAAGCAGACCCCCCGCTGAGTGGGAGCCCGATGCAGGAGCCGGGACTCCGGGATCATAACCTGAGCCGAAGGCAGTCGCTTAACCAACTGAGCCATCCAGGCGCCCTTGGATTTCTTTTTAAAACGTGCTCTAACATACACACACATTTTCCTGCTTTGTTTTACAGAGCTTGTTAAGCCTTATCAAACCTTTTATCGCTGTTTCATTGTTATTGTTGAAGGTCGTTATTGTATTGTGCCAGTGGATCTAGAACGGGTCTGTCTGTGGCAGGGGTTTTCTTAATCTTTTTGTGCCATAGATGCCTTAATAGGCTGGGGAAACCTCTGGACCCCTTCTCAGAATAACGCTTTTAAATGCATAAAATTAAATAACAGAGGGCCTCCTGGGCGGCTTAGTCGGTTAAGTGTCCCACTCTTGGTTTCCGCTCAGGTCATGATCAGGGTCCTGGGATTGAGCCCAGCCCCGGGGGGGGGGGGGGGGGGGGGTCTGTGCTCAGCAGGGAGTCTGCTTGGGATTCTCTCTCCCTCTTTCTCTGCCCCTCCCCACCCCACTGCATGCGCTCTCTCAAATAGGTAAAACTCTTAAAAAAAAAAATAACAGAATTACAAAGGAAAGCAACTGTATTGAAAAACACTTATCTAAATATGACACTACTTTGTGGCATTAGTATATGTGCTTTATTTACACCTTAAATAAGAAAGATCTAGCAGTGAGTGTATAAAATGTGTCCTTTTGGGCCTTTAAAATTTTTTTTTAATTTTTTTATTATTTTTTAAAGATTTTATTTATTTGACAGAGAAAGACAAAGCAAGAGAAGGAACACAAGCAGGGGGAGTGGGAGAGGGAGAAGCAGGCTTCCTGCCGAGCAGGGAGCCCGATGTGGGGCTCGATCCCAGGACCCGGGGATCATGACCTGAGCCGAAGGCAAATGCTTAACAACTGAGCCACCCAGGCGCCCCATTTTAAAATTTTTTTAAAAAAGACTTTGAGAGAGTGAGAAGGAGCCAGGGCAGAGGGAGAGGGACAAGCAGACTCCCCGCTGAGCAGGGAGCCTGACGCAGGGCTCGGTCCCAGGACCCAGGATCATGACCTGAGCTGAAAGCAGACATTTAACTGACTGAGCCACCCAGGCGCCCCCCCTTTTGGGCCTTTTAACTCACTTTCACTGACGCCCGACTCTAGAGTCAGAGCTGCAGAACAGACTGTGTTTATTGTGTAGTACGGTGTATGGTTGGAGCATCCAGGCAAAATGACTGAGCGGATGGGTAATCATCTTCAGGCTGGCCCTGTGGTTCCTGCTCTAATTCTTCTGTCCCGCGGTGTCTCTCATCAGCTTCCAGGAAGCTCGGGATGAGCTAGTTGAATTCCAGGAGGGAAGCAGAGAATTGGAAGCAGAGCTGGAGGCACAGTTGGTACAGGCTGAACAGAGAAACAGAGACTTGCAAGCTGACAACCAAAGGCTGAAGTATGAAGTGGAAGCGCTAAAGGTAACCCTGGAAGTAGAAGCTAGTGTCTGATGGGCTGGCTTATATTAAAATGAGAAATAGAATTATTTTAGGTGGAACCGAAGAGCAGTAGGCAACAGAAAAATAGGAAAGGCTTAAAGTGAATTTTTGCAATAAACTTCTCTTTCATGGAACCAAGGGAAAGGTGGTTTAGGGTTCAGGAGTTCACTTAGAAACTCTGTAGCTGGCCGTTTTTTAGCTATACTGTTCCTGTAATATAGTGTAATTCCTGTCATCTTCAAAAGCTGCCTGACTTGACAGATTGCCTCATTCCACGGTACTTTAAAATTCTATATGTATGAACTACACATTTGTTTCATTATTGTTCATAGTCTCTTTAGTTTTGAAGTTTAGTTGGGGTTAAAAAAAATTCCTTTTTAAAAAGTTATTTCCAGGATTAAAAAAAATCAACCGCTTTTGTTGCTGTTCAGCGCCTGCCTTAGTCAAGTGCTTGGGCCGTTTCGGGGCCTGCAGCGAGTGTGGTTTGGGGAAGGTGGGGAAGGCAGGTGAGAGCGAGGGAATTGGAACTCACTGATAGTCTCCCTGTTTGTGCTTCCCCTGGGCCGCCTTTAGCCTGAGAACCCAGAGCTCCTCCCACCACGTGTGGGGTCTTGGAGGCAACAGTTTCACTAGTTTACTTCTTTCCAGAGAGATCATTATTAGATTTCTTTCTGAGAGGAGAGTGGTTGGCTCTCTAAATTTATGAGTTAAGGTACTTGGAATGAATGTGTGTGGGGGGGGTTTTTTTGTTTGTTTGTTTTAAATATTATAAGGAGGAGAAGGCTACACTACAGCTCAGCTGGTGGTGAATTCCTTGGATCTCCCCCACCTCCATATCTTGGGTTACTTCCTGTATATCAATAACACCCTCTCCTTCCTATTCCCACGCGTTCAGGAGAAACTAGAGCATCAGTATGCACAGAGCTACAAGCAGGTGTCAGTGCTGGAGGATGATTTAAGTCAGACTCGGGCCATTAAGGAGCAGCTGCATAAGTACGTGAGAGAGCTGGAGCAGGCCAACGATGACCTGGAGCGTGCGAAAAGGTAAACGCAGGGCGCGCATTTCGTAGAATCAGTGAGGAAGATCCGGGTCTGTAGGCTCAGCCTGTCACCTGGATCTTAGTCCCAGAACATCTCCTTTCAGAGTTTCAGTCCCCCTGTAACTCATCACATCGGCGCTAACCCCAAATCCTCATCTCCCCAGATCAAGCCCTTCCAGGGTTTTCTTCCCCTCTGTCCTTTTCCCCCACTTTGGGTCCCCTGGTTGCTCCTGTTGGTCTTTCTCTAAAGCACGTGTCCTCCATTCCCCTGTCTTTCCCTCCGTGTCCTCAGTCCTCCCGCCCTTGTCCTCAGCCCCACATCTCCTACCTGAAGTCTGCAGTTTCTTCCCCGCCGATCCGTCTTTACATCCCTACTCCTCTTCATTCTTTTCGGCTTTAACACGAACCGATGAGATTATCTCAGAATGCTGCTTCCCTTGGCGATGGCACGGCTCGGCCTAGAGCAGTTTGCTGGTACTGTTGCTGAGCTTCTCTGTGATTATAATTAGTCGTTTCTTAACCATTCCCAACCGAATTCCTGTTACTTTACAATTATCCATACGAGTGACTCTTCAGTGCCTGACTTGATGCTAGAGTTGAGGATACCTTGGGTGTGACAGGTGTGGACATCTCACACGAGAAATACTCGGGTGAAGAGCACGTACCGGGGCTCCGGAGCGTCCACGACGGAGCCGCTACGTGCCCTGGGGGTGCTGGGGAAGTTGGCTGGGATTGAAGCTGAGTCTCCAAGGAGGAAAGAAGCCAGCCGGGTGAAGAGGGAGATGGGGAGGCAGAGAGGCAGGAAGGCTTGGGAGGTAGGAATATTTCACTTTGAAGTGCATAGAGACAGTGTAGCTGAACAAGATGGGACTGGAAGGTGGTCGTGGCCAGGTTGAGGAGAACCTTGCGTGCTCTGTTTGAAAGCCATTCTGGAGGCGATGAGGGGCTCTTTAAGAATTTTTTAAACAAAGGAGTAACATCAGATTTCGAGTTGAGAGGATAATACTGAGGAATTAGAAGTAGGGAGAAGGATCATTTAGGAGTGATTCAGGTGATGGATGAAGAATTAAGCCAGGGCAAGAGGTTGGAGGAGAGCAGATGGGATTGAGAGACAATTTGACATTTGATAGGACTTGATAAAATTTGGCCAGGGCATTAAGAGTTCGAGCTTGAGGTTAGGGAACGTTAGGTAGCATGTAGTGGACGGGGGGCACATAGTAGGTGCATGTTACTACTGTTTGTTGAATAAATGAGTAAGATGAGAAATGCAGGAGGAGGAGTTGGTAGGGACCTGGGACTTTGTGTTTTAAACAAATTCTTAATTCTTAATGTACTCTAAAATTGTTGTAAAGTTTTCCTCCTGAAAATGTGTAAACTTGATTGTTCTGTGTTTAAAATCCGGGGGGGGGTTGGGATACAATGTGTAATAAATGGCCTTCCTTTTAAGGAACTATAGTGAACTTTGGTGGGAATTTAAGAGAATATATTGAATGGCCCAAACCAATAGCAGAGATACTAAATGTCACCAGAGGTCAGAAGGGACATTTTCTTTCAACTGGGCCTGGCTCTCTAGGTCCAGAAATGGCATGAGATAAACTGATAGTTTCCTTTTGTTGTATTAGCTATTTGCATGCTATTATTTAATTCGTGAACTCCAATTTTTTTTTTTTTAGGGCAACAATAGTTTCACTGGAAGACTTTGAACAAAGGCTAAATCAGGCCATTGAACGCAATGCATTTTTAGAAAGTGAACTTGATGAAAAGGAGTCTTTGTTGGTGTCCGTCCAACGGTTAAAGGATGAAGCGAGAGGTAAAACTGGCAACTGAACATTTATCCTTTACCTTACCATCCCTAAGCCCGAGTTCTAAGCTAGCTTCGTTTATATACTTTTGAAGCCTTGTACATTTCTATCTTTTGTCAGGCACGACACTAAGTGCTTTTAGTCTCTTAATGCCTACAGTGTCAACTCTAAGAGGTAGGTAGTATTAGCCCCATTTTATAGGTGGGAAAACTGAGGCATGGAGAGTTTGAGTTTTGTCCAAAGTCTTGGAACTTTTCAGTTGGGGGCCGCCTGGGTGGCTCAGTCGGTGAAGCGTCTGCCTTCGGCTCAGGTCATGATCTCAGGGTCCTGGGATCGACCCCTGCATCAGGCTCCCTGCCTTGTGAGGAGCCTGCTTCTCCCTCTCCTTCTGCTCCTTCCCCCCCACTCATGCTCGCTCTCTCTCTCTCAAATTAAAAAAAAAAAAAACAAAAAACTTTTCAGTTGGGATTCAGACCCTGGTCTGTTTTCCAAAACCTTAACTCTGCTACCAGTGTGCATGTCCTGCTTGGTTTGTTTAAGTTTTTTCCTTTTTGCTTCTATGTAAATGATTTTATGTTAGGCATATAATAACACTGCATATGTGCACATATTATAGAGACCATTTTCTTCTTTATAATATTCTGTACTCTATCACATACTAAAAAAGGAAGAATTTTATTTTTTTAAAAAGATTTATTTATTAGCACAAGCAGGGAGAGCAGTAGGCAGAGGGAGAGGGAGAAGCAGGCTCCCCACAAGGCAGGGAGCCTGATGCAGGGGTCGATCCCAGGACCCTGAGATCATGACCTGAGCCGAAGGCAGACGCTTAACAGACTGAGCCACCCAGGTGTCCCCCCCCCCCCTTTTTTTTTACATATGAGCATAGTTAACTGTTTTCTTAGGTAAGAGCATTTGTATCAGTCCTAGCATTTTAAAATTATTCTCAAACATCATTTAGACAGTAGGGTTGTCTTATATACCCCGAGAAATAAAAAGTGTTACATAGGAAATAGTTTTTGAGAAATCGTAATTTAGGCAGAACGTCTTTATGGCATTCCACAGGTGACTTTGCTGTCTGGATTTGCTTCCTCGGGTGAGTTTTATTGCCTGTGCCCCATTTTGCAGATTTAAGACAAGAACTGGCAGTTCGGGAAAGACAACAAGAAGTAACCAGAAAGTCGGCCCCTAGTTCTCCGACCCTCGATTGTGAAAAGATGGACTCCGCGGTGCAGGCGTCACTTTCTTTGCCAGCCACCCCTGTTGGCAAGGGCACGGAGAACAGTTTTCCTTCACCAAAAGGTTTGCCATGTCGTTTCTTTCTGAACCTGCGGGAGATTACCAACTGGGGAGGGTAGGCTGGGGAGCAGGGCGAGGCGTGCGTAAGCGGTGGTTTCAGTATAAAGTCGCGGAGGCCACACGCTCTGTGAGGCGGGGGAAGCGGTTGGTTTCGGGGGCCGCTCCCTCCCGGGGAGCAGGGCCGCCGTGGCCACGTGTGAAATGAGCGGCTCAGTCCGTTGCGATGTTAAAAAGTTAAAGGTTTTCAGGCAAAGTCGATCTTTTGAGGCTAGCAGCAATCCACTCTCGTGCTGGAAACGCGAAAAAGAGAAAAGAGGGGGATCCGGCTGCCGTCTTACCCCTGAGAGCCGACTGCTGTCAACCCTGACTCTGCCCGCTGCGGGTGCTTGTTTGTGTTTGCACACACCTCCTCGTTACACCCACGTCGGTGGCACCTGTAAATACGGTTTCTTTCTTTTTTTATTTTAAAGATTTTATTTACTTGACAGAGACACAGTGAGAGAGGGAGGACAAGCAGGGGGAAAGGGAGAAGCAGGCTTCCTGTGGAGTAGGGAGCCCGATGCGGGGCTCGATCCCAGGACCCTGGGAGCATGACCTGAGCTGAAGGCAGACACTTAACGACTGAGCCACCCAGGCGCCCCGTAAATACGATTTTTGAACTGATCACAGAGGACTAGCCACCTTCACACGCAGACCGTACCGAGCCGGGTTGAGCTGCCATTCAGACTCGTGAAAGACTGGCTCAGGCGGACACGGCCGTCCTCTTACACGCCCCCGTGGCTGCCGTTTTCAGAGGTGACATTTGGAGTCACCGATGACTAGTACATAGAGAATGTTCTTTTGTCATCAGCAGAGGTGTTTTTTAAAAATCTAGATAGGCAGAAAAACCGCTTAGCAGCCACTGCATAGAACCTTGGAATGGAACCCCTTAGCTCTTTATTCGGATTTATTTCATTTTTGCAGCTTAGAGATATGTCAGCGACTCCCACTCCTCCATACTTTTTTCTTCCCAAAACGAAGCTCCTTCTTCCCCTCTCTTTTTTAAATAAAGAATTTTATCTTCCAGAGTGGTAGGAGAAGGTTTCTCTCTGGGCAGTTAGTGATGTAAGCGCTCTGTGCCTACGCCCCCCCAGTCCCGTAGCCACTAGCCACATATGACTATTTACATCTTATTAATGTGAGTGAGTTAAAACTTAAAATTCAGTTTCTCAGTCGTATTAGCCACATTTCAGGTGCTCAGTAGCCCTTGAATAGATAACTCATCCTTCGCCTAGTTACAAGGTGAAGTTCGGTAAGAGGTATGAAAATGCTGTATAGTGATAGGTGGTGTTCTTTGTCCTCGTGCTGAGTTTGCTGCTGAGGACCTAGGGCAGGCCAGGGTACAGGTGATAGCAGTCATCAGGAACCCTCACTGCCCACGTTCTGGAGTGGCTACTTGGGCATTTGAGGATCGCAGAATTGCCAACATTTGAGAATTGGCAAAGGTTTGCTTTTAGGTACTAATTAGAATTCTGCAGTTAAGTTCTGAAAATTTGTGAGTTGAGCATGAATCAGAATATAGTTTGGAGCTTCAGTCGAGGTTAATACCCAGGGAGGTGCACATCCTGTAATAGCTCATTAGAGTTTTAACTCGGACTTGGCTGCAGCGAGCTGGGCGAGTTCAGTGGGACGCAGAGCTTGCTTACTCTGGCACAGGATTAAGACATGTCAACTCCAAGGTAGGAATATTTGTCCAGGTGGACAGTGTTTTAGACTGGAACTGATGGCATGAACTTTCACTAACCTGAAAGCTGCTACACACTGGTTCACAGCAGTTGTGTGACAAAGAAGTCTGCAACAGACCTAACGAGAAGCAGGAGATGAGAGAAATCAGTGCAAGATTGAAGGGCTGAGCTCTGTGAAGTGGTCTGTCTTTAACTGCATTTTATTGGTAACAGCGCCTGTTTCCAAAAAGCATTTAAGACAACTCACCATTAAAGCACAGATTTCATAATTTGAGAGGAATAGGGAAAAACGAGATCTGGAAATCCCTGCTGAGAGAAGTACAGCAGTTTATTTATATCCTGTCGAGCGCTTGTTCTATGCCACGCATTATTCTAGATGCCGGGAGTCTCCTGGTGAATAAGGCAAAGTCCCTCCCTTCAGTGAGATGATATTCTGGAGGCCAAGGACAGTCTGAACAGCACCAGCAACAAAGCATTTATATACTGATTAGCACTCTGTAGAAAGCTGCTAAAAGAATAACAGCTAACATTTATTGAGTACTTACTATGTGCTAGGTATTTAAAAAGTGTATTAACTAATTTAAACTTCACAACGGACTTTAAAAGTGAGGTTATCAGCCCTCTTCTACATATAGGCCGCTTACTAAAGCTCACACAGTTACTAAATGGATTTGCCTCCGCAGTTTAGCTCAAGAGCTCTTAACCATCATGTATATTATCTCAAAAATTGAAAAAATGTGCATGACTGAAAACCTTTGCTGAGGGGCGTGCAAGATGATGTGAATATCACACTGGATAACCTGATTGTGACTGGGAAGCCTGTTGCAGCAGCCACTGTCCCCAAATCAATCAGCAATTTAAATTTCTAATAGAAATCAAAACAGGGTTTTTTAAGTTGGCAAGTTTTAAAGTTACTCCGAAGAGTAAATGTGCCAAGAAAAGCTTGAATTAGGTTAATAACAAGAAGCTTTCTCCTTCAGGATACCACAGTATATTTTAACATTGTAATAATGAGGGCGCCTGGGTGGCTCAGTCATGAAGCATCTGCCTTCGGCTCAGGTCATGATCCCGGGGTCCTGGGATCGAGCCCCGTGTCCAGCTCCCTGCTCGGCGGGAAGCCCGCTTCTCCCTCTCCCGCTCCCCCTGCTTGTGTTCCCTCTCTCGCTGTGTCTCTCTCTGTCAAACAAATAAATAAAAAATCTTAAAAAACAAAACAAAAACAAAAAACACTGTAATAATGAAAGCAGAATATTTCTGGTGGAACAGACTAATAAATTTAAGGGAACTAAAATATATAGGAAATTCAGTATATGTAAAGTGCCATTTCAGATGAGATGAGTCTTCATGACATGGTATTAATTAGTACAATTGGCTATCCATTTGGATGAAAAAAATTTAGATATTTGATGAATTAAATGATCTAAATGTAAAAAAAAATTTAGGAAAACATTAGGAGGAAATAAGAGCAACATTTTATAATATTGAGGTGAGGAAGCCAAAACCTCCCCCACCAAAACAAAGTTTGAAAGAAATGTCACACTGAGAAATACAAGATCTGGGAGAGAAAGGGTGAATATCTGTAGTGTTTAGTGCCCTTACCCATTGATTAAAGGAAAGACAACCCAGTAGATAGACAGAGTGCAGAGGATAAACATGATTTCCAGAAGAAGAGATTCAAATGTCTAGTTATTAAGGAAACAAAAGAGAAAACAAAATGACTATCAAATTGACCAAAAAAAAAAAAAGATGATGTCTACTATTATAGAGGGCACAGCCATACGGATTGCTGACATGAGCTCAGGCTCATCAGAGAGCATTTTGGCAGGCTCTCTTAAAGGTGGAAAAAGGGGCATATCCTCTGATCCAGCAGTTCTATTTTTAGGAATCTTCTCTGGAAATACTTGTCTAGATGTTTTAAGGATATGTGTCCTTTTAGCATTGCTCATGATGTAAAATTATATACAGTCTCAGTATACATCAGTTGAAGGAGACAGTTCAACATATTTATGGCGTCTCCACTTTATAGCTTACGTTCCTAGTTTGGAATACTGTATCGATTTGTCATTGAGTGTATCCTGCTCAGTGACACCCGACAACAAAAGGGAAAGACACCTGCAAGTGTAATCACTCACCTTTTCTTTCTCTCCAGCTATACCAAACGGTTTTGGTGCCAGTCCACTAACTCCTTCTGCTAGGATATCAGCACTCAACATCGTGGGGGATCTCTTACGGAAAGTAGGGGTAAGTATTCAATTATTTAGCCCTAGGTACGTCACCTGCCACGGTGTTGAATTCTGCATTTGGAGCGAGGGAGGGAGAAGGGGCTCCTTCCTGTGGTAAAGGCTGTGATGAGGCAGAGAAGCAGGACCCTCCAGTGATGGGCCGAGACTGCTCCAGATAAACACGTCGGGGCTCGGGCTCTCTGGGGCCTCTGCAGGAGGCCCTGTGCACTGCGCTCTTGAGATCCCCCTGGATTTACTTCGGTTTCTCCTTGGCCGCTTCTGCATCATGACTCCTCCGTCTTTTCCTAAGATAACTGTTCTCCGGCCTGCTGTGTGTTTTATACCACTCTTGGATCCTGTTCTTGCCGCAGTCCGCCCTCCCTGTGGCCTCCCTCTAAGCTTTCTCCCCGGAGGACTGCAGCACTGGCCCTCGGGCAGGACTTTATGCTCTTAGTCCACACCCGGCTCCCTGCTCTTGGCCACTTCAGCTTCTGTGCTGTCTCCTTGGCTCTAACCTTGGCTTCCAGAGCAGTTGGGCTTTTGAAATATTACACTTGTTTTTCTGCTTAGTCAGTTTTTTGCTTGAATACCTACTCTTTGACCTTATCAACAGTAGGATTCTTCGGGTGAAATGAGTGAAAGCCATCTCTTGCTTTCCTGTCTTTCCTGCTCATTGGTGATCCCACAGATGGCTTCCTCTGTCAGTGCTGACTCATGGTCTTTTTGGCCGTGGAGGAGACCTGCAGTCGGGATCAGTCCAGCAGTCGGAGCTCCCCTTCTCTGAATCTGGATTGCAGGAAACAGATAACTGTGTGGATTTATGCCACTGTGAAGTTCGCATCTTGTGCGTGGGTTCCCTTTGCTGTTTCCGTGGGCAACTTTTATCTCTCTTTTCAGTAATCTACCCCTGAAACTGCCCGCTGTCCACCACCCCTTCACTCACTTGTTTGTGAGAGACATTTTCTGACAAAAGCAGAAATTGCATTATACTTTACATAATGAAGAAATGGGAGGCCTTTTCTGGCTTACAAAATTACTTTCTGACCATCAGATTAATTCCAAGTGTGCGTTTTAACATTGCTATAAAAAGCAACATGCACAAATTATTTCACACATGGTCCATAGAGTAATTTTCACTCCTAACATAACCATTTTTTAAAATCCTGTTTGTTGTAAGAGTATTTGGCTCCATAACTCAAAATACTGTGCTTATTTTTTGATGTCTTGACTTACCAACTTTAAGCAAAAAGATGAGGAATTTAACTCCCACCTCCCACTTTTTAATTTTTTGTTCTTTTGGTAATTTTCAGACTTGAAATGGCATGCTTAAACCTCTGTTTCTGAATTTATTAGACTGTATCTCAGCTTCCTGTTGTATGTGTGTGTCTTTCTCTCTGTCCCATCTTGAACTCTCCACTAGTTGGTTCTGAAAATTGAAAACTAGCAGCTTCTACAGTTTTCTGCCCATGTGTGGATTGTAGGCTGCAAAATCATAGAGAGGAGCTGGGCTCCTGGGTCGTTTTATCTCTGCCACTCAACAGATGTTTCGGGCCTTTTTTTTTAATCATTTACTCAATCATACCAAGTGTTTTGATTTTTGTATTGGAGCTGACTTGCATGCTTTTTCTTTTTCTCTGGCGTTGTTACTTACCTTCTTTTTCTTGTAGGTAGAAGAAACCTGTCCTTTCTTGGCTACGTCTCGTGTCTGTAGCTTCTTATTTGGTGCCCTCTGTGCCGGCGTTCTGAGGGGTACTGTCCCATTTCTCTTCCTGGGTTACCTCTGTCTGGGCTTCCCATGCGCAGCTTTCTCTGATCCTTGTTTAGCTTATGACGTTACGTAATTTGTTCAGAAATGGTGCAGAAAGGTGACCTTGGGAGCCCTCGTACAATTTGTCCATCTGGCTGACCGTCCGCCTTCCGAGATGTCATCGGGACTCCGGGTCTGCGGTTATCTGCCAGCCCCCGTGTGCTCTTCGGAGTGTTTCCCTTTCTACTTCTTTGTCCTCCTTTGTCCACGGACTTGAACTGGAGGCTCCAGCCCCACCCCTGCATCCTCTTCCACTGAGAAATAAGGCCATCTGATTTCCACTTGTTTGTTCTCCTCTCTGACTTCTATTATTACTCTCCTGATATTACCTCTGTTTGTAACCATTCTTCCTCTTTATCTCAGTGGTCCAAGGATCATGTTCCTGCCCACGGCTTATTTTGTCCCTCTGTGCCTTGGGTCCCATCCCATCCCAGCCTTCTTGTCGATGTCTCCTCTTATTTTCAGCCTTTTACTGTATTTTAGTGTTTATACGTAATCTTTATGGATTACACATTAGGTATTATACATATACGTCATATGTAATATTTGTGTATTACATACTATACCATTTTTTACTCATAAAAAGTAAAAGCAACTACTCTTTTACCCTACATCTGTGTTTAGCTGTCACCCTCTTTCTCTCTCCCCTTCACAGCAAGCTTTCCGAAAGCCTGTCTCCGTTTATTGTTAGCCTTTTTTCCTGCGTACCCGCTCTCCAGACATCCTGGTCTGGACTCTGTTCCTTGCTTACTCCACCAGAATTGCTCATCGATGAGCTCAGCACTGTCAAACCCAATGGATGCTGTTCTGCCCTACTTTTACTTCGAACATTCAACACCGACTTTTTTTTTTTAATGCTCTCTTTCCTTTGCTTCTCTGATGTGGTGTCAGGTCCGCTTCCCGCCTTCCTGCCCATTCCTCTTTGTCATCTTGTTGGGTCTTCATCTGCCCCACCCTTCCAGGGTTGATTTTCAGAATTCTGTCCCTGAATTCCTGATCTTCTCATTTACAGCCCTGACTTTGTCTGCTACCTGGTGTGAAATCTGCGGAGTCCTCATTTCTAGACCACTCTCTTCTCCGGTGTGGGACCCAGTGTTTGCCCTTGTGTGTCTGTCCCACCGAGGCCTCCGACAGCTTGTGCCTGCTCTGTGATCACGCTCAGCAAGTGTTTGAATGAATGAATGTCTTGAATAAGGGAATTAATGGCTCTCTAATAGTCCCCAACCCAGAAAGGAACACGGATAGGGTCAAGAGACTTGGGATCTGTCTACTCGTGCCACATTTTTCTTAGTTGTAAGATCAGGATTATATCTGTATTCATCCGTAATACTGAGAGGAATAAGTACATTATCCTGAGGTCATTAGGAGTCAGCATAAACATTCCCTCTTTCTATCAGAGAGGTGATTGTTTGTGGCTTGACTGGCTACCATTATCAACAGAGAGAGTGTAATTTTAGTCTTGAAAGAGAAATGGTTTGAAATGCAGATTTTTATGTACAGCTACTGTTTTGACAACCAAATCATTCCTCCTTCTTTCTGTAGGCTTTAGAATCCAAATTAGCAGCGTGCAGGAATTTTGCAAAGGACCAAGCATCACGAAAATCCTATATTTCAGGGAATGTTAACTGTGGGGTGATGAATAGCAACGGCACAAAGTTCTCTCGATCAGGACATACGTCTTTCTTTGACAAAGGGTAAGTCTTGGACAATTGAAAATGTTGTTTTTGAGTACTAAAGTCACACACTGTTAAGTGAGCTTATTGAACTTTGGAAAGGTAAACTCAGTTTGATAAACCTACATGAAGCGGTATCATTCAGGTCTTAGGGGACATCAATCTGTTGTCGTCTTCTGGTCCCCATGGAGTCTGTTGCCCGGAGAACTCTTGATGCTTCTGTCGTGGGAAGCAGTGCGAGGCTCTGGGAATTAAAGACGACTGTGATAATAGTCCTTGTTCTCAAGGCGCCTAAAGGCTAGTGAAAGACTTTCTTGGGCCAATATTTGGTAAGGGTAGAATCGTGTGTGATCATGTATGTGCAAACTCTGCAAGAAACCTGTTGTCTGAAGATTTTAGAAAAATAGGAAACCGCTGGATCAGATACAGTTTAGGGGACACAGGTTTTGTATGATGTGAAGATGTTTTTTTGGGCAATTGACAGTGTAAAAAAAAGTGGCATAAGATTGAAGCAATGGTACGTCCTTAATGCGAAAAAATTTCAGTTGGTGCCGCGGTGTGTAAGTAAAGAGTAGATGTTTTCTGTTTTCATACTCTCTTTGCATCCTTACACTTACTCTCTTAGGCAGGTAAAATATTTTTATGCATCTGCTATACATATTTTTTAAAAAATTTATGGGATTAGACTTGGTTTAGGCTCTGCAACCCCCACCCCCTTCGTGACTTGTATCGCCAGGATCTTTCCCTGTCAGTGAATATTGTTCTTCCTCAGGTAAAAAACACCACCACTGTGTGGTTATACTTTGACTGGATGTGCCTTCACTGAGCTAACAACCAGTCAGGACCTGTGGTCTGGCTATGCTGACTAGATGCCCTAAGGTGGCCGTTCTTGGGACAGCATTGAGGCACCGTGCTCCCTTGCCCCGTCTCTGTTTCGAGTTGTAGAACCTGTTCTTGTTCTGTGAAAACAGTACACATACAAGTCTAGAGATGTTCACAGTTTCTTAAAGCTTTGAGCTTATATTTTCTGCTTTCCTCAGTAACCGTGGCACATTTCAGGAGGACTTGACTTGGCACACAGTCCACTCTGAAAAGCTGCTTTTTGTCCACCCAACTTGTGGAGTAGAGTGTTCTGGTTTCTCTCTCTCCCTTAGGGGACTTCTGCCCTGAAGGGCACGTATTTCATTAAGGAGCACGTCCTAAAGTAGCAATATATAAATCAGAACTTCATTCTAACCACGGGTGTTCCTCAGGGGGGAGTAAGTATAAAATTAATTTTCCTCAGATTTAGGAGTTTCAGGCAACCTTGAGGAGTACCCATTTTCATACTGTAATGGTAAGTGGAATGAATAGATATTTCACATTAAAGTTGCCATTTCTCCCGAATAATCCAGGGAAAGTTGAGGGGTAGTCTTCACGAGTGTTGAAAACAGAACCTAATTATTTTGTCCAACTTGTAATTTTTGCAATGTGTAATTAACCTCCAGTAGAGCAGTTATGGGTCTTTATCTGGAATCCTGTTTCTTGCCTCAGACGCCCTGTGACGTGAGAACGAGCAGGAACCAGAAACGGGTGGGTTGGGGCGATGCCTCTTACGCAGGGAGTCCTCAGAACAGTCACGATGAGGGAGGGATCGCTGTCCGTGCAAGCTCACTGCGCCTGGCTTCCAGTGGCCCTGATGCACGGCACCAGGGTGCTGCTGGCCCGAGATAGACCCCGTCTCAGGGAGCTGCAGAGGGTGCAGAGTCAGCCGGAGCCAGGAGCTTTGGGCTCCGTCACGGAGCCCCTGTCCCCTGAGGAACATTCTGGATGCACGTGCAGGCTTTGTTTCCTGAACTGAACCTGGAGATATGCTTCTCGAGAGAAACACTTACAGATGATGCCTAGTTTTGCTCTAAGTAGTACAAATTTTTAACCGTACTGTTTCTGGTAAGGATTAAGTATGCTTTTGTGGGCCCGCTTCAAGTGTTTAGTTTATATGCTAAACGCATTGTACGTCCATACTCCAGTATTAACCTGCTTCTTGAACCACATGGGTCTAGTGGCCGTGTTCCTGAAGCTAACTCAGACTCTGTGGTTTTGCTCCTTGCTGCTTTGCTTTGATTCTGCCTTCCTTCTGGCCTTTCTTCCTGCGGGCCTGCTGACGAGATAGGGTCATGATGGTGTCTACCAGCCGTGACAGGACGGGGGGAAGCGTCTCAACCCCAGCTCCCTTGTGGAGTCTGGCAGGTAAAAATACCATTTCTTACAGAAGCGTCCAAGTGTGTAGCTTGGGGTTGTAGCATGAGAGAAAACTCCGTCCTAAAAAACCTTCAGCTCGAACTTGCCTGCCCTGCCCCCCACCCCCAAGGAGTGTGTCTGTGGCACTGTCCCTGCGTTTTCCCCAGCACTCCCAGAGACCGTGCGGAGGGTCAGTGGGGGAGGTGTGCGTGCGCGCAGACGCGCTCAGGGCCCCCCTGCCCTGCCCCTCCCGCGAGGGCCTGCGATGCCCTGAGGCCTGACCACAGGAAGCCACATGCTACACCTTCTCAGTAGGTGGCAGCGTGTGTGGTCCGACAATATTCTGTAAGTTCTGGTGGTTTGACAGCTTCCTGGAAACAGGGTTTCGTCTAGTCTGTGATGGCTTCTGCCAGGTTCTAGAATGGGGTTTGCTGGACCTCCTTGGCGTTGCTCTGTGTTCTCCAACTGCTGTCAGCCCTTCGTGTTCCTCATCTGAACCTCAAGTGTAGTACGGTCACTTGACTTCTCTCAAAAACCGTCCGTTTTCGCCATCGTCTTCATTCAGCCTCTTAAGTATCACTTACCTGATTTTGTAAGCCAGTGTGATCTCGTTTGGGCTGTGTGTAGGCGGGCGTAGGCCGTTTTAGGGCACGCTGTGAAAATAGTACTTGTATTACTGTTTAATGTTTTTTCCTTTTTTTTTTACTAGGCAAGAAAAAGTCATATTTCCCACGTTGTTCATGGGTAACTGAATTTGTTTGCTGTGCTCTTTTTCCTTCTTTCTCCATCTTGCTGTGTGGTGGAAGACACACTAACAAACTGGTTTTACTAACTGCATGGGGCTGACTCCGCTTTAACCGACTTACGGCCCGTGAGTGAGTTCTCAAGTCCCGGTCTGACCCAACCCCACGTCGTTACTCCGGGTTCGGCTGCGCAGAACAGAAGGCACTCGTGGTCGTGGTCCCGGGGCGGTGGTGGCCAGCGGGCCTGGTGGCGCTCCTGGCCTGGGCTCGGCGCCGTGGCGGTGACGCTGCCTCGAGTCCGGGCGTGGGGGTCGAGCGTCGCTCTCAGGCCCCGGGATCACATTTGACTTGAGTTCACGGGAGACCGAAGTTCTTCCTTGCCCAGAGCCTTCTGTTTTCTCGGGGCAGGTACCAGTGGTGACGGAGCCTTGCTGCCTGGGGCTCTCCCCGCTCCGCTCGCTCTTGGACTCCCCTCGTACAGCGGGGTGGTAGACGAGGCGTGTGCGTGTGAGAGAGACCGAGGTCGGCCTTGCAGGAAGGCACGTTTCCGTCTGAGCATCGCTCCTCCGTGTCGCCAGCCTGGCGGAGCGAGTGCGTGTGCGCTCCCGCGTCAGCTCCGGCCTCCTCCCGTCCTGCCCGCGGCTGCCGGGCCGGGGTGGGTCTGCGAGCTCTGCTCTGTCCTGCTCACCAGCTCTGCCCCTCTCTCCACTTCGTCTGTTGCTGTTTTACAGCTGACCGGAGGCCCTGTGCCTAGCTAGACTCGCTGTTTTCAGACTCTTGAGCTAGATTTTGGTGGTCAGACCATGATGTTTCTGGAACCTTTTCTGTATAGGTGATTCCCAGGTCTGTGTCTCTCTCCCTGTGCGTTCCCTCTCCATTCAGTCCTGTGTTGCCCACTGGCACATTTCCCTGCGGCTCTTCTGCTGCTGCCCTCCGACGCCCAAGGCCTCGCTCCTCTTGGGACCCCTCCCCCATTGCACAGATTCTCGGTCACAGGAAGGGACCTCACTGGACCCCCCCCCCCCAATAGGGTCCGCTTTCTTCTCCCTCTGGCCTTTTACTTCTCACTCCTCACCTCAGAAGACAGGTGTTAGGTGCGAGCCTGGCAGGTTATGCTCTCTCTGCTGCATCCAGCGATCACATCAAGAATTCTCATTTCCATCTGCACAGGGAAATTGCCTGTCGAGTTTCTTGGCCTCTTCTCTGCTGGTTGGCACTGCTTATTTTTCCCATTAGAGCTGAGCCGTGTCGGGAGCACGGGAGTTGCTGCTCACCGAGGGCTGTCAGGTGTCCCTCGGCCAGGAGGAGCCTGGGAAGGGCGCCCATTGACACGTTCAGGGGGTGAGCTCCGGCTGGACTTGGCTCGCTTTGGTTTCTTCAGCAGCAGAACAATAGGGATGAGCTTGCTGTTTTGTTAAGGTCCGTCTGGCTTGAGACTGCAGGAATCCCAGCCCTCAAACCTGCGTGTGGGGCCATTCTTGTGGGGCTTTCGCATGCCCCTGGGGATGGGTGCCGGGTTCTTCTTGGCGCCCAGTGGGGCTTGCCTTGCTGGCCGCTGTGCTTCGAGAGGCTGGAGTGGGATGTTGGCATATTTGAAGCTGAGGCCGTGTGTGAGGGCCTCCTGGTGCTCGCTGAGAGGTTCTGGGACTAGCCAGACACATGGCAGATGGGCTGATGCTGTGAAGGCTGCAGGGGCTGCGGGGCGTGGGCCCGGCCCCGAGAAGAGGCACAAGCATGTGCGGTGGGAGGAAGCCGTGGGAGGATGTGACGGGTGAGTGAAAGGCCCAGGAAGAAAAGGGACGGTCCTGGGTGCACACGGCTGAGGGAGGAAGCCGTGCAGCAGGGATCGGTTAGTTCCTAGGGCTCTCCTGTTGCTCTTGGCCTGTGTGTGGGTGGCTTGCTTTCAAACGCAGCTTCTGCATTGGGAGGTTAACTCTGTCTTCAAAGTAGTCCGGGTCGTCTGCCGTGTGTCTGCATGCGTTTCTCAGAGGTTACACTCCCTTGCTCAGTGTATGAAACAACTGTCTTCGTAGGGAGTGTGTGTCCGCCCTGCTCCCCTCCTCCTCTTTTTTAAGAGAACCTCTCTCTAGCCTGTACTCGAGTCCCTGCTGATGAGCAGGTGGGGGGACAGCGAGGGCACGGGTGGTGCATGCGGCCCCCACAGTTGGCCGCACCTCCCACATTCTAGCGGGACAGATCTTCCTGCGAAGGGTTTCTGTGTGGAAGGGCTGGGGTGGCTTCCTGAGAGAGGTTCCGAGACTTGCACCCCTTCCCTCTGCTTCTGGTGGCTGTGCGGCCCGGTGGGCGGGGCTGGGGCTCTGCATCCCAGCGCCTGGGGGCTGGGGCGGGGCGGGCGGGGCACTCCCGCGTCCACAGACGTGCCTGCCCATATTGCCAAACAGTTGAACAGAGTTATTTTTCTCCCCTTTATTAAGTTATGTACATTGTAGGAGATTTGAAAAACAAAAAAGTGGAAAGTAGTAAACAAAATTACCCACTGATGGAGGAAAAGTAACCATTGTTAAATTTTCTTTCTATAACATATATGATTTTATATACATATTTGTGTGGGTGTGTGTAGCCCCCCACATTCTAGATTTAGCTACATAGAAGTAAGGTCCATATAGGAGGTTGGAGTTTAGAATCTGGAATGTTACCACTTTTTTTTCCCTTCACATCATTGAACATATACAATTTGGTGACCTGCTGCTTTTTGGACCTAGCATTAATGACATTCTGAGTATTTTCCCATGCTGTTAAAGAACTCTGTGGAATGTGTTTTTAATGGCCGTGCAATACTCATCATTTAGTTGTACCATTATTTCCTTAGCTAGTTCCCTACGGGCAGACAGACCAGGGCCGTGGTGGCAGTGGCCGGCAGGACAAAGTTGTCGACAAGGGGGCACGTGAGCGCGTTGCTCTCCGTCCTCCGAATTCTCGGTCTCTGACCAGCTGAGGCTTTCCAGGCCACTCTCCCTGGGGCTGCTCTGATCCCACCCTGGGCAGGGAGAGGGGTAGTTATAGAGAGCAAGTGCTTTTGTTGTGTGTCGAGTGATTTTAAATGACCGTCTCTCTCTCTCTTTTCTCCCTCTCTGCTCTGGTCACCCCCACAGGGCAGTAAACGGCTTTGACCCAGCGCCACCTCCTCCTGGTCTGGGCTCCTCGCGCCCGTCGTCAGCACCGGGTATGCTGCCCCTCAGTGTGTGAGTGCCCGGCCTCCGGGGGGGGCTCCTGCCCTCCTCCAGCAGCCCAGGACACCCAAGCCTCACCCCTCGGTGCCTGGGCCCCGCCTGGGCCCCTGCGTCTGCCTCCCCGTGGCCGGCAGAGGGCAGGCTGCATGCGGTTGGCGGCTGCCGGGCCCTGCCCAGCCCCAGGACTCTGCGCGATATCAATGCTGGCTATTTTCTCTTCTCGCCGTGGTGCCGTTGGTTTCACATGATTGCACTTTTGTGGGTCACAAGGTGATACGTACGTGTATTCCTTGGTCACTGGATGCAGAAGTACCCATTCATCACACCTGCCTCATAGCTCCCACCCTGCTGTACCGATAGGGTTTAGTTGTGTTTAAGACGTTGCAGACCTTCTAGAAGTTCTCCCCCAGATCAGGTCAACACGTGCCCTCCTCCTGAGCTCCCACCCAAGCATCTTCAGTGCTCACGATCATGTGTCCCCCAGCTCCACTCCCCACAGTTTGGCCTGTTGCTGGCACAGAGTCAGGAAGGTCACTGAATTAGGGAACGTTTTCTGCACCTTCTGATTTTACTTTAACAGTTATCATTCCATAGACTTGCCCCCCCCAGAGCAGCAAAATGCCCGTCTGAACCCGAGAGGGGAGGCTCCGGGCCGGGGCGCACGCGGCCTGGTGCCTCTGTGCCGTACCCTTCTCCTCCACGTGGCTCCAGGTGGGGGGCGGGGGCAACCTCCTCGCCAGCTTTCTGGTCCTTCAGTTAAGTGACATCTTTCAGAGCGTTTTGTGTTCTCCGAGGGCCTGTCCAGTTGTGTTAGGAAGGGTCGGGTGGCCTGAGTCGGGGGCTGGCTCGTGCCGGCTCCTGGGAGGCAGACCGGCCGTACGTGGTTGTCCCTGTGCATCCTTTGATTACTCTCATGCTGCATTTACTGTTTACATTTGTTTTATTGTACATAGGTTTGTAAACATTATTGCCTAAGATATTTGTATATAACTTGGGCTTTGTAGCTTTTATTTATTCAGAATTCATATGGCATGTTAACGACTGAGGGTGTCCTACTCTGGGCAGCCGAATAGGATCATCATGTGGTTAAAAGAGAAAAAAAATACTTCCCCTCAAAAAGTCTTTTAATGTGGAAACAATAAATTTCACAGAAAACAAAGGTTCGAGGTTGCTTTATTGGGTTTCTGCCAGCCTGTGGGAGAAGACGGGAGTTCCAAAGCCAGGTTCGGCGCTGTCGTTCATTCTCCGGCGCGGGAGAAGTGGGCGGACAGCGGCCGCGGGCCGGGGCAAGGAAAAGCCCGGCGGCCTCTCGAGGAGGCGGCTAGTGACCCGAGCGGGGGTTCTCGTGCTGATTCCTGGGGCTGGTTTCTGCTCGTAGCTGTGATGTCCAGGAGGGCCCCGTGGGGCAGTCTGGGAGGAGGGACTGGGCCGTTGAGGGAGGCCGAGTGCCAGGTTGTGGATCGAGGAGCGGGTTGTCCAGCTGTGCTGCCTTTCATGACATGTGTCCGTGTTTTGGGACTGGACGTTCCTTGGGTCTGGGCTTCTCTCCTCCTCCCTCAGGTTGGTGTTGGCAAGTGAGAGAAGGTACCATTTGTTTGGGAGCAAAGACCCAGTGTGACGGGACGCGAGGAACGGGCAAACTGGGGGCCTGCACGAGTGTATCAGATTCCGCACTCTGCTCCTAATGAGGAGCATGAACGAAGAGAACAGTTTGTAGTTTTAAAACTAGAAGTCAATGAAAAGTGAATCAAATTTGTAAGCAAATGAGAAACAATGAGAGGATACATTTTCAGAATTTTCTTCTGTCCGTTAATACGCAGGCAGGAATATCTTCTGTTAGTTGTTCCCCGACGTTGTGTCGTAAGCTGGCTCCGAGAGACGCAGGGCTGTGTGTGTGCTGGGCCTGGTTGCCCGGCCGACCGAGCAGCTGAAGAGAAAACTCGTCTTTTGTTGACGGGCAGCAACTCCCACTTCCTTCCCCGACCATCCCCGGAGGGATTGGATTAGATCAGAGGTTTAGGTGCCCAGCAGACCTCTCTCGTTTATGCAGGAGCCTCAGATCTGTAACATGAAGTAGAGCTGCTCCAGTTAAAGCAAGGATGGGTTCTGGGGCCCTGAATCCTTGCTCCTGGCTCCGCGATGACTCCTCAGTTCCTTCCCAGCGGAGCGCCCCTGGGATCGTCTTATGGAGGCTGTGTATCAGCTGATGGCTGGGGCAGGGGCCCTGGCTGCAGGAGCCCGTGTGTCGTTCACCAGACGTCGCCACCTCTTTGGGCCTGGGACAGCATGGCGCGGGCCAGGTCCCTGCAAGGGCAGTGGCATGCTGCAGGCTTATTCCCGGTCTCCTTCGGGAGGGGACCCCACAGGTTTGGGGGGGTTTTTATGGCTGCAGCGGCCCCTGGCATATGAGCCCCTGAGGAAGCTGGTTGACTTCCTGGTCTCATTTTCAGCGTCCTGTTTGGATCATGTGGTTCAGGTTGCTACTTTGTACTTGCTCACAGAGCATCAGGCCACCTGGCGTGAAAGTCAGCACAGGCTGTTTGCCGGTCCAGCCCCCCGATCGCCTGTCAGCCTCCTGCCTCTGAGTGGGTTCTCCCCCCGCCGGCCCCTGACCCCAGGCTGCCCGATGCCCAGGTTAGCCCGGCTCTCGCTGAAACCTTCAGGGATATACCCTCCCCTGAGCGGGGTCCCCGTCGTGCTCTCCCCTGCATGGAGGGGCTCTTCTTCCCGGTGCTGAGGGACCACTTATTGCCTCCCAAGTGTTTCCATCTTGTCCCCCTGCCTCCCCACCCCCGCTCCCGAAACGTCTTTCCTGCATGAGGGTAGGAACCAGCGTGCTGCTTCCTTTCAGCCCAGAGTAGCCAGAACTCGTATTCCCTCAGCTCAGTTAAGAGCAGAAGCCAGAGGTGGGATGTTGAGTCTTCAAGGGAGGACAGGAGGACGGGATACAGGGGGCCCGAGAGCAGGAAGAGCCCGCTCACCCCAGTTTACAGAAGGGAAGGCAGGCCCAGAGTTTAAGCGCCTGGCCTGAGCTCACCCAGCGAGTTCACAGAAAAGTCAGGATCGGAAACAAGCTCGGGTTTTTTTTTCTGCTTTATGCTCCATTTTTCCAAACCTGACTGTTTCCTGCCTCAGGAGGTGAGCTGGTTTCAGACCCTTGGAAATGATGAGCTGCGGGGGCTGGCACAACGTCTGTAGCAGGAGGGACGGGCTTCCTCCACCTTTGTCTCCCAGCCTTGACTCTGCTTCTCTCAGCTGTCCCTGAGGCGCCCTTAGCCTCTCCTGGGAGCCCAGGTGGAAACTGGTGCCTCCGGGGAAGGGGGGGTGCCCTGGGGCGGAGCCGCATCTGCCCTGCCTGCTGGGCCAGAAAGGGGGATGGGTCCAGGAAGATGCTCAGATAAGCCTTCTCCTCATTCCAGCTTTACTTCACTGCGGCTTCACCGCGCCTCTCCTGTCTGTATCTGCCCCAGAGTTTGAAGTGGATGGAGAAGGCTATCTTTCCCTTACAGAAGGAGGTGTGTTCCTGGAGTCTGTCCTTTATAAAAATGGGGATCAGCGAGGAGGTATCTTTGTAAATCATTTTCCTATGACTTAGGGCATCTTCTCTGAAAACTGGTCCCATGACTATCACAGATCCGATCTATGGGAATACAGTAGCCCTTTTTTTAATTTTAAGGAAGAGCAATCATCTTGAGTGAATAACGTGATTTCCTTGGTAAGATAGTGCAAAGAGGCAAATTTGAAAACAACACAGCTTTTCGTGCTGGTGTTGGGGGACCATGTGAGGTTTGTGCTGTGTGCTTACGATTCGGAGCCAGGCTTCATCCGTCTGTCTGTCCGTCTGCGCCCATAGGAGTTAATGTTAGGGTTTCCCGTCAGCTCTGAAGCCTTCCCCGAGGAAAACAAGATGCAAACTGAACCGAAATGTAACTTGCCTGTGTGTGGGGTGTTTTCTGAGACAGAAGCAAGTCTGCCGCCCCTGCCCTGCCTGGATCGCAGTTTGCAGGTGGGAGGCCTGGGAGGAGGGTGCTCACAGGCAGGCCGGGGCAGTAGCGCGCCCCCCCCTCCCGGGCATGTGCTTGGATTAACGGTCAGGTGGGAGAGGTCTGAATGAGCTCAGAGCCCCACTGCACCCTGTAAGTAGATGATGGACTTAAGAAACACTGGTTTTTATTTCCAAATATAATGATTGCTTTAGCTGGGGAGGGGGGGGAAGCAAACTGCATTGCCACCTAAAATTTCGGGGAATAGGTACACTTTTATCTTACTGGGGTCACTAAATTATTCTCGGAGTCTTTGGTCAGCGTTAACAGTGTGATAAGCTATGAAGACCCTTCTCTTTCTCCTTCTGGTAAAAATAGCCCATGGTAGTAAGAAGAAATAATCTCGAGAGCAGGAACATAAACGTCTCACGGCCAGGGAATGCTCAGGGTGACTTCTCCACAGAGCCATCGTGGTGGAGGCGTGCAGACACGTGTGAATATACGGGAATGGAAGTGGCCAGTGGGAAATAGCGGACACAGGTGCACGGCCTTATTAAAAAAAAAAAAAGATGCAGATAGTTTGTGGGCTCTCTACATTTTTCTATAAAGTTGCCCAAAATCATTTCCCCCCCCCCCGAATTATTTTTTAAAATGGAAGTAATGAAACATTTCCTTTCGTTGTCCAAGTTGGCCCAAAGCCCTGGGCTGAGGGGTGCGGAGATTCGAGCCAGTAGTGAGAGCAGAGGCTCCCTGACCTGCTGGATGACCAGCGCGGTCACCCTTGAGGAAGTTAAAAAGCCAGGTTCCCCGCCCCCCTACCACCACCCCCCTCCCGGTTCTGCCCCTGTACCGGCCTAGGGAAGCCAAATTTCAGAGACTCTCGGACCCAGCACTTCCAAGACACACCTTTGTGAACCATTAAGAAAAACGTGCCAGGGGCGCCTGGGTGGCTCAGTTGGTTAAGCGACTGCCTTCAGCTCAGTTCATGATCCTGGAGTCCCTGGACCGAGTCCCGCATCGGGCTCCCTGCTCAGTGAGGAGCCTGCTTCTCCCTCTAACCCTGCCCCCTCTCGTGTACTCTCTCTCTCTCATTCATTCTCACTCTCTCAAATAAATAAATCTTTAAAAAAAAAAAAAGTGCCAGTCAGAACTACGGAGACGCTTATCGTTGAGACTTTTTGTATTTATTGAAAGAGCTTTTTTAGACGTTAGACAGATTTCCCTATCACACTCCATAAATAAAAAGTAAAACGTAAGAGAGATTCCTGCAATCTCGCACCGTGATTCGACGCTCTGACCGGTTTTGGCCCGGAGTTGTCTGTGTTTTCCCCAACTCTGTCTTCTGGGCTGTGGTGGGTGCTTGGGGGCACAGCATTTCCGAAAAGCGTCTTCCACTGTCAGCTCCAGAAGTTTCTTCTAAGGTGCCGATACTCATTCTGTAGGATCTCATGTTGGGCGCTCTTGACCTTACCGGGGGGAGTCCAGCAAGGACAGCCATGTCACTGTTGCCCCTTCTGACGGTGACTGTGGGATGCGCGAGATTTTACACCTGTGCGAACACGGGCATCCCAGAACTGTGCGGGGTGATGCTTAGAGGGCGGTAGTGTGTGGTGGGCCATTTCCGTCAGACCCGCTGTGTCCTCGTCTGATAGTGTCACATCACCACGTGCCGTTCCGTGCAGATGTCCGCCTCTCCACGTTCCTAAAGGCTCCGTCCTGTGGCCTCTTCCAGCTTGGTTTTTGGTTTGGGGGAGGTAGTCAGGTTCCACCCGGACAGGGCGTGCTGTTTCCTGGAACGCGACAGCCATGAGCACTGCTTCCCTGGTCCCGACACGGACAACTGCGTCCCGCCGACACCGGCTTCGGGAGGAAGGGGCCACAGGTGAGACCCAGAGCCAAGAGAGCACAGACGCTGTGGCTAAGGTGGGGTTTCCAGGGATGGGGAAGATGGGTGACGGGGCTCTAGTCTTTCTGATGGTAGGGGTTCAGAAGGAGACCCTCAATCAGCCCGGCTAGGAATGTGCGTTATTCCCACTAAAGCAAATGAAAATCACCCCCGGGACATCTGCGTTCGACAGGAAAGTGCCTGTGACGTGGCAGGGCGGACAGGGTGCGTGGTGTGGGCTGCGGGGGGAGAACCCCAGCGCAGCGTCGCCGTGTCTCCACTTAATCTCAGCTGTCAGTGCCCGGCCGAGGGTTCATGACCTGCCGTCCTTGGACGACAAAGCAGTGGTTTGTCGAGTTGAAGGAAGGTTCCTTCTGGTCAGCGTCTTTGTGGAATCTGGAACTGTGAGCAGCCCACGTAGCTTAGGTTTCTCCCAACGAGGCTGGCCTAGGACACTTGAGCTGTCGGGAAGCCATGTGGATGGTCACACCAGTGAAACGAGCCAGCGGGGAGGAATTCTTTTCTGAGAAAAGCTTCTGAATTCCAGATCCCTGGGTAACTTGCTGAATGCCAGGGTGAGGCCATGTGAAACGCGATCCTGTTACTTTTTTTTTTCACGTCCCCACCATGGCCAGGCAGAAGCAGCCTGGCCTGAGAATATCATGGAATATATGTGTATGTATGTATGTGTATATATATATATATATATGTATGTATCAATCCACATTCTCTATGGGATTGTGTATTTTCCTAGTGTTTGTTCCAGCCTATCTCCCCGCCCCCCCCGCCCCATCTACACATTGAGGCCAGTGCGAGAGCGGGACTCAGAGCCAAGACCACCCAGAGAGCTAGCCCGGCAGCTGCCGGTTTCTGGGAGCACAGCACCCTCCAAAACCGTGGGCCTGGCTGGCCGCATTTTCGGTCTGGGGGCTTCCCAGCCTCCAACCAGACCACAGGTGGGAACATCGAGAACAGAAGGTGAGAAGACAGATTCCATGTTCACGTGATTATTCTTGTTTATTGAGGTCTGTTTATTCTCAACGGGTGCTTTTTCCTCCAAGTAACCAGAGCAGGCGTAAATATCTATAATGAATAAATTTATTGTCTTACAAAAATCATTGTCTAGAAATATGGGAATACAAGAAAAAAGGTATTTGCAGTCAGGTGTCTGGTGGTCAACAGCCAGTGCAGTTCATCAAGGGGGAAAACCCAAAGATTCCAAACCCACATGACAGATTCTTCCTAACAGATGTTAAAGCTTTTAACCCAAAAGGTTTGTGTTTTCAAGCACGTTGCCAAGGATCAAGGATTTATAATTAACACTGATTCGTTGTCACTGAATGTTTATAATACCACTTCGACTAGAGAGGTACATGATAAGCACAGTCAGAACTCATACATTACATTGTTACAGAGGCAGATCATAGATGTAACGTTCTTAGTACTGCAGTGTCTAAGGCACTTTCTGTAAAGTCAGTTTGCTTAACTATCAACCGAAAACAGAATGCTAGGTGTTCACTGTAACACTGTCCAAGGGCAAGGAAGGAGAAAGGAACAAGGACTCACGTCCACTGGCATGTCAACATTCAGGCAGATGACGTCGGTTCCGGGGGCTCCGTCAGCCTCCCGGACCACCTTGGAATAAGTCTGGGACACAAAACCGAGATTGCCATTTTGGGCTCAAAGCGGTGGCTGAATTTGCAAGGTCAGCGTGCGAGCCTGGCTGGAGACGGAGGGCTCCCTGTGGACCCCCCCGAGGGTCAGCCAAGCCAGAGGGCGCGGGGCCCGCGGGACGGCGGTGGCCTCACGGGGCCGCCGTCCCTTCTGTGCACAGGCCGGCCCTGGCCGAGGACACCACCAGCTCAAGGGAGAGGGGCAGGGCGACCCCAAAGGGACACGGCTTCCCTCCGGTGCCGCCCACCCCTCCTCATCTTGCCACAGCCCCGTTCACAGTTTGCTCACTGAAAGAGTGTTGATCGTTCTCGGAGGAAATACGGGGAGATACAAGTGCAGTCGAGGTTCCACAATGTTCGAAGAGACTCGGTGTGGCTGAGGCGGCGGGGGCCACACGAACGCAGAACGGGGTGACCTGTCTGCAGAGAGAGCATGCAGAGCGACGGAGCGGCCACCGCAGTAACCCAGCCACTGGCCACGGGTCTGAGAAATGGTTCTCTTCTTACCGTGAATCAGAAAATGGTCTCTCGGTGAATATACGCAAAGGAGATGCAATGAGGAGACTCTGTGTAGTAGGCGTGGGTCTCGTGTGTGTATATATAGAAAAAGGGGAAGCGGTTGTACTTGACTGAGAAGCGGGATACAGTATGGGCGGCCGGAAAGCCTTAAGACACGGTTGATCTCTCAGTAAGGAATCCCAGCGCGGGCCGACTTCCCAGACGTGGGGCTGGGGGGTGGAGGGGGGTGGGGAGGTGTCCTGCGTGTCCCACTGTATCGCCTCCACGGGCTTCCCGGGGCTCTACTCGGCTGGGGGCGGCTGCGTCTCGTTGACGTCGCTGGTCTTGCTCTCCGTGTCGTCGTCAGACAGCTCCAAGGAGGCCCCCTCAATGTGCAGTTGGCGGCGGCCAGACCGGCTGGACGAGAAGCTGATGGGGCCGCCTCGCCTGGGGAGAAGGGAGCAGGGAGAGCCGACGCGCAGGGGTGAAGCCGGGAACGCGCGGCGCTCCAGCTATTAAGCCTCCTGAGGCCTCCACCCTCGCACCCCTTTCGCAGGGCACGGCGGGGGTGCGGGGGTGGGCACGATCCGGAGAGGCTCTGTGCTTTGTCCCCCTGTCCTCCAGCCCTGCCTGGCCGGCACCCAGCGGACCCCGAGCCCGAGGCTCTCAGAGGGCTGTTGCCACAGGAATGGGCAGGGAGCTGGACGGAGGGGCAGCTAGTCCTTAGGGGGGGCTCTGTGGGCCACATACGGTCTCTGTCGCACATCCCCGGTGTGGCTCTTTAACAACCCTTTATAAACGTAAAACGGGCCTGTAGCTCCCCGTACAGAAAGGGCACGTGCAGTGTGGCCAGCGGGCCGCCCTTCGCCGATGCCCCTGCTAACCTGCTCCCGGCAGACAGTTTAGTCTCCCCTCCCAGACCCGGTGTGCGGACGGGGGTGGGTGCAGGGCTGAAGGCACTGGGGCCCGCGAGGAGCTCCTGCCCTGCTTTTTGCGGACGTCTGGACAGGGACAGCCACCTGCCTGGCCGTGGATCTGTGTAGCCCGCTAGCGAGCGGCCCGTTCCTCCGCCGTCCCGCCGAAGGACTACTACGGGTCGGGAAGCCTGAATGCACGACTGCAAAGCGACTCTGAGCAAGGGCGAGTAGCTACGGGAAGCTGACGCATCCTCTGGACCAAACGCTAAGCCTATAAGGGCCGCTCTTTTCCCACGCTCTGGGCCCGGGCTCCGAGACCCAGCGCCGCTTAACGGCAGCCCCCGGGGTCACTCACCTCAGCCGGTTCTTCAGCGTGCTGACCTCGCGGCTCAGGCCCTCGTTGGCCTCCGTGGCATCGTCCAGTTCCCGCTGGAGCTTACGCCGAGATGCGTTGGCACGCGTGGCCTCCTCCTCCGCCTCCTCCAGCTGCCGCTTGAGCTGTTTCATCCTGGCGTTGGCCTTCTCCATCTGGGGGAGGTGACACGAGCCCAGTCACAGCAAAGCGGCCGACTCGGTTTCGGCACAGCCGCGGCCCAAGCGTGGAGCACAGCTGGGGGCCCCGGCAGCCACGCGAGCGCGCACCCACGACTGGGGGATGGTCCAGGGCCTTCGGATCAGCCTGCCTTTCTCTGCAAACCAGTGTCTACAAAGCAGACTTTGCTAAAGACCGAACGCTCAAATCCTATTTTCACCCTTGCGTTTTCTGTAGGAGAAACGACACAATTCAGTAGCTTCCCCTGAGTGACCGAGGGGATTATGAAAAGGAACGGCTGTTCAGCAGAATACAAAAGGGCTGACCGTGTGGACCGTCTCCAGCCCCGGGAGATGGTACAGTTGGTTTTGTACCTCCATTCGGGACGGCTGTTTCGGATGTTACGCTTTGATTCAAATACAAGGCCACTCTGGAAGAGTGGACACGAGACCGCAGCGATGTGGACGCTGGCCAGCTCACGGGCGCCCAGAACTGCCCTCGGTGGGGGTAGGGGGAGCCAGCTGCCTGACCGGGGCCAGGAGAGAAAAGGGAAGGGTCCGGGGCCCAGGCCTGGGCATTCTCCACCCCGTCCACCTTCCGTCCCAGCGTATGCAGCGCAGCAGAGTGATGCAGGGAGACGGAACGAGAGCACGGCCCCCCAGGGCAGCAAGCAATGCGGCCCTGGGAGAGCCCTGAGGGGCGGAGGCGGCGTCTGAAATCACCTGTGTCCCCAGCACCCCAGTGTCTGATGTGGGCGAGGAACAGCCCATGGTTGTTGGAACACGAGAATGAACGTTTCAAATAGCATTTTTTTTAATCTCGCTGGTCAGACGGTAACCCCGGGCTCATTTTGCCCCAGTGTTCTCGCTAAGTGAAGCATTTCACGGGCGGCATGCTTGGTCATCCTGCTCGGTTTTCTCCCCTTACCTGTTCTTTATACTGATCTGCGTGTCGACGTTCATCTTCAACCTGCATGAAGATCTCTTTCAGCTTCTTCTCGGTGCGACGGACGAGTTTGTTGGCGGCTGCTCGTTCCCTAGTAAAATGACCAACGCGTTAGTTTGTGCAACTCGGAAAGGATTTTTTAAGTCCTTTTTCTCTGGAAGAGGGCAATTGCTGGAGTGCCTTCCAAGATCTCTCTGACCAGAGCAATAGAATTAATATGGCCTAGGAACTTTCCCCTTCTGATTAAAATATGCATTACCTGTAATGTATCCCAATGCTGATAGGTAGAAAAAGTGCATTCATTATTCCTTCACACACAGATAGCGATCACTTTAGTGAACTTCTGAAGCTCAAAGCTACCTGCCCCAGGGGCACCTGGGTGGCTCAGTTAAGCGGCTGCTCAGGTCATGATCCCAGAGTCCTGGAATCAAGCCCCACATCTGGCTCCCTGCTCTGCGTGAAGCCGCTTCTCCCTCTGCCCCTCCACACCCAGCTTGTGCACTCTCTCAAAAAAAAAAAAAAAAAAAATTTTTTTTTTTCTTCTTTAAGCTACTTGCCCTGTATATTGAGTTCAAACTTTTTGAGGACAAAAACCTTAGCTGGTTACTCTGATTACCTATTTAGCCTGGAAAACAAAACAAGACCTAATTTACTAAGTGACTCTTCAATGTAAAATTTACTGACTACCTACCCAGATGCTGGGGGCTGTCGCAGTTACCAGTGGAACAGACAAGAAAAATCCCACACTCCCCCTTCGGGGAAAGCCAAGCAAGTCACCGGGCTTCCAGACAGGCCCACACAGGAGAAGGAACTGAGCTCCATTGAGAACAGAAAATGTCCTTTTGTTCCTTCTCAAATGTTATGCAAAAACGGGCAGAATTCGCTGAAAAGGGCAAGTCATGGTAATTACAGCCCAGGGTGAACAAGCCCTTTTCTTTGAGTGCGGCGCAGTCTGAAGAGTGGGAAGTGGGGGGAAGCTGGGTGGGGGGGGTATGTTGGGCTCTGAGCATGGGCCCACGTGTCTGGGCCCCAGGCTCCCCGTCAGGAGGGCGAATGTGAAGGTCTGTGCTAGCCCGGGCAGTCCGTGTCTCCAGCATCAGGACCGTTGGCTGCACCCCCACGGGCAGATGTCGAGCTGCCCTTTGCTTTGGGAGCAGAAAAGCTTGTTTGTCCTACGGCGTCTCTTCTCTGGCAACAAACTAGCATTTCACGTGATGCCAGCAACTTGGGACATCTACTCGCGGCGGGGAGAGGCGGCCTAGGGCTCCTGGGAAATCAGGGGACAGGAGGATTCGCCCCCAGCCGAGCCCAGCCGTCCCCGGGGGCTCACACCACGTCTGTCTCCCACGCCCGAGCCACGGGAGCCGCCACGGGACTCTCCGGCACAGGAAGTTTGGGTCTGTGGCGGCAAAGCCCTCTTACTTGGCTTCCTGCTCAAGCTGCTCCTCCAGCTGCCCGATCTTGGCTTCCAGGGCCGAGATGGTGGCCTTGAACTTGGACTTGACGGCGCCCTCCAGCTCCTGCAGCTTGGCCTTCAGCTCCTTGTTCTGCCGCTCCAGCTGCTGGCGCGCGTTGTCGCTCTTCTGGGCGGCACTGCGCTCGGCCGCCAGCTCGGCGTTCAGCGTGTCCACCTGCGGAGGACAGCCGGGGTGAGCGGCTCGGGCCCGGGGCGCGGTGCGGCCCCTCCCAGCGCCCGGCCGCCGCGCGCGCCACCTGCAGCGTGGTCTTGCGGAAGCGGTCGTTGAGCAGTTCCATGTTGCTCTGCTCCTCCTCCAGCTCCTCCTCCAGCTGCGCGATCCGCGCCTCCAGACGCCGCTTCTCGTCCAGCAGCGCAGACCTGGGCGGGGGAGGGAAGGGGTGGGGGGGGAGACCGCTTGGCAAGGGGTCTGCGCGCCCCCCTCCCCCCAGCAGCGTCCTTGACGGCTGGCTGTCCCATCCCCCATCCCCCTGGCCATCAGCGAGGCCTGCCCATTACCCTCCGCCCCCGCCCCTTCTGGCCGGCTGCTGTGGTCACCTTCCCGCGGGCCCCAGCAGCCAGGGTCCCCTTCCGAAAAGGCAAGATGACCCCGGCCCGGCCTTCCCAGCACCCCGTCCGACAGTGCCAAGTCTGCCAGGACCTGCCACAAAGGTGCAGAAGGCACCTTCACTGGAAGAAGGCGGGACTTCACGAAAAAGGCAGAGAAAGGTCTTAAGGGATCTGCCTGCCCGACCGAAGGAATCTCAAAGTCAAGACCAGCATGGCCAGGCTGCGGGCCGTCTGCGGAAATGGGGGGCGTTCCAGACGCCCTTCCTTCACACCTAGCGTGGGACTGACTGATGCGGGGAGCTGTGGTTTGCTGCCGGCCGGAGGCCCAGCCTCTGTCTTGGGCTCATCTTCCCAGATGAGCAGATCAGCTCCTGACTTCCAGATGCCGGACGGCCCTGCCTCCCCGGGGCGGTGGGCGAGCCCCAAGGGGGACGGCCCACGGGTGCCCGGAGGACAGGTGGGGCTGCCGCTGGTCTCTCGCCCCCCCCCCCCGTCGGGAGACTCACTTGCCAGAGGCGCTATTAGCAATCTCGTCCGCCAGCTCGTCTCTCTCCTGCTCAGCATGACGGCGCGATCGCTCGGACGAGGCCAGTTCCTAAGGGAGATTAGACTGGGATTAACCATTTCCTCACAGGTGAAACTGGACTGTCGTGCCGGCTGCAGCCGCCTCGTGTGTCCCATAGTGTGACCAGGAGCATCAGGCCCCAGGAAACACAGCAGGTGTGCAGCGCGTGGGGGGGAGCAGCAGGGGGCGTGAGCCCTCGGGCCTCTTTCTCGGTGACTGGAGACTGCGCAGGGCAAGGGGACAGCTCCGGGCCGGCCAGTCCTCTGCAGGAAGAACCGCCTCGTGGCAGCTTTTCCACACGTTTCTTTGGAAGGAGGACTTGCCACAGGAAGCAGCCGGGGCGCCCTTCTTACCCCGCGTGGGTAAAGATGGAGAGGACAGTCTGCGTATGAGCGCTGCACCTCTGCCCTCAGTGTAAGGAGGAAGGGACTTGCCAAGTCCTGTGGCTGGTCGGCAGCGGAAAACCGGGCTCTCACTCCTCCCGGTCCGGCTGGCCCTTCAAGAGATGCCAGTGATTCAACAGGGCTGCACACAAAGGAGTTCGCCCGTGTGCTCGGCTCGTGTGTTTACCTCGCACGTTATTAGAGCACAGGATGCAGGCCAAAGGCCGGGGTTCCAGCACACACAACGCCCCCCCACGGGACAGAGCGAGCCCAGGTGCGAGCGAGGAATGCTCTGGGCCGGACCCAAGGGCCTCTGGTGCACGAGCACGTGGCAGCATCGGCCCTACCATCTGGCCTCTGGTGCCCCATCGTCCTGCCCCAGCCAGGGGCCCTTCCTGTCCACTGGCTGGGTGTGCTGAACACAGGCTGGGGGACCCACGGGAGAAAGGGGAGGAGCCCGGGGCTTGCAAGCCTAAGAACAAAGGGGTCTGAGGGGAGGAAAGAGAGAGATGGAGGGAAGGGCAGTGCTCCTTTCGGGGAGTGGGGGTCTCTTTTCCCCTAATGCAAAGGCCCCTTGTCTGAAGGCCTGAAATAACCACTTTCTCACAAGGCTGGGAGGGTGCAGGGCTGCGTGGGTCGTGCCCCGGGGGGCCTGGCTCCCAGAGCCCCATCACCTTTGGGTGTAACCCTGTCAGCTGCATGGTGAACCCCACGGGTCTTCAACAGCTACCTCACTGAGGAACGGGCACATGTTCTTCTAAGCACACATGGAGAATTTTTTAAAGACTGACCACATTCTAGGCCCTGAAGCAGCTCTGCTCTCAGTATTCCTAGCCACGATGCAATATAACAAATCAATGACACACATTTGGGAACTTAAACCACATTTTTAAATTATTCATGAAATAAAGAAGAAACCATCATCAAAATTAGAAAAATTAAGAACTAGGGGCTCCTGTCCATTGAGTGGCTCTCATTGTGTCGGGCTCTGCGCTCAGCTGAGAGTCTGCTTAAGATTCTCGCCCTCTGCCCCCTTCCCCCTCGTGCTCTCTAAAATAAATCTTTAAAAAAAAAATTTAGAATTTAAATGGCAACGAGAGCCCAGATTTTGCAGGATACAGTGAACACAGGACTTTGAGGGCAATTTACAGTGTTCTAGGAGCAGAATCAGACAAGAGAAAAGCCTGAAAATTAATGAGTGTGCAACTCAAGAAGTCAGAAAAAAAATCCAAAGGGAATGAAGACAGGAGCAAAAGAAGTCAATGAGATAGAAAACAAAGAAGGACCCACACCACAAGCTGCCCTTCGGAGGAAGCTCAGGGTCTGCTCAGCGTTACTCTGCTGGTCTTTGGTTCCTTCTCCATTCCTGACACCGAAGGCATTCCCTTCCTTTCTTGCAAGCTCTACCCCACATTTATAGTCGTCTTTGTTAACACCGAAGCCAGCATTTCTAGGTGGTGGTATTGGGAGTTTCTTTTCATATTAACTGGTAATAACATTTCAGCTTAAGTTGCTCTTATCTTATAGGTTGGTATAAATTTTGATCATCATTTATATAAGCAGAAATGTGTACACACTGAATATGTGCAGTTCTTTGGCAGTTTTACCTCAATAAAGTGTTAAAATAAATGTATGTATTCAGGTGTGCCTAGCACTGATAGAACCCCTCGTCAGGCCTTCTTCCTGAGAACTTACAAAAGAGAGAAATGAAAGAATTGATCACAAGATGATTCACCAAGGAACTCAATGAAACCTACATCTCCTCTTGTAAGTATCACATGAATGGGGCTTCTGTGTAAAACAAGGAAATCTTACAGCAGTAAGATTAAATGATCCTGATGCTTACCAACATTAAACTCTATTGCCTTTTCTTACACATGGAACGAGGTCTGGAAAGTCGCCTGGAAAATTACTAAGCCGCCCCTTGGCCTTTGGCCAGATAAATATATATATATATATATATATATATATATATATATATATATATATATATATATATATATATATATATATATATATATATATATATATATATATATATAAAAGCAGTACCACAATGTGACCGCTCTGTTTGCTGCACTGAGCCAGTAAGATGGTCCAGTACTTTATTAAAACGGGTCTTGAAATTATACTAGGCTACCAAGACAGTAAGATAATTCTTTGATCTTGGAGAAATTTCAGGGGCAAAACATTTTTTGAACAAATGGATGAGTAAATATTAACAAACCTCCTGCAATTGAAGGATTTCTGCTTCTAAACTCTTCAGTTTCTTTTCACTCTCTTTGGATTGAGCAAAAATTTCATCCCGGGATGCACGAGCTTCTTCTAATTCACGTTGGTAATCCTTCATCTGAGCCTAAGATTAGGAAGAAGGTTTTAGAGTGGTTTTCATTATTAGTTTTTAAACATGTATTTTTTCCAGATCATAAAAGTAATATCCAGCCATTGAAAATATAAAAATATGTGGAAACGACAAAGGTATCACATGAAAACATTTAGAACAATATCCCATCTATGAACATAGATGCAAAAATCCTCAACAAATCCAGCGACAAAGTACGAACATAGTGGCAAACTGAATCCATCAGTATATAACAAGAATTATACACTGTGTGTATTTATACACCATTATATCCCAACACCCAGGTGGGATTTATCTGAGGAGTGCGAGGCTAATTTGAAACTCCAAAATGAATTAATATAGCTGCAGGATCATCTAAGTACAGGTAAGAAGCACTGGACAAAATCTAACACCCTTTCATTATAAAAGCATTTAAGAAAATGAACAGAAGGAGACTCCCTCAACTCGGATAAATGGCAGCCGTGAAAACCAATAGCTGATATCCCACTTAGTGGCCAAAAGATTGAATGCTTTCCCCTAAGAGCAGCGACAAAGCAGGAATGTCTGACTTTGCCACCTCTGTTTAATACTGTCATGGAGATTCTAGTCAAAGCAATTACACCAAGACAAGAACAACAACAACAAAAAGATATCCAGATTAGAAAGGCTTTAAAAAGGCAAAAATAACCTGCTTGCTCTGCTGATAATATGATCTGATATACTAAACATCTTAAGGAATCCACCTTAAGAATAAATGAGTACAGCAAGGTTATAAGATACAAAATCAATATATATAAATATACATAAATCAGTTCTATTTCCATACAGTATAAACATTCCAAAAATGACGAAAGCAATTTTTATAAGCATCAAAAAACAATAAAATATTTAGGTATAAATTTAGCTTAAGTTCAAGTATATGACTTGAACATCAAAACTATAAAATAAAACATCACTGAAAAAAGAATTGCTAAATAAATAGAAAGACTGTCAGGTTCATGCACTGGAAGACAATACTGTTAGGATGGTGGTCCTCTCCAAACTGATGCATGTAAGTCGGCACATTACCAAAATCCAAGCTGGCTCCCCCTCCCCCTCATTACAGAAACTGACAAACTGATCCTAAAATTCGTGTGGAATTGTAAGGAACGCTAAACGATCTCGAAAAAGAATAAAGCTAGAGATGTCACCTTTCCCAATTTCAAAACTTACAAGAGCCACAGCAATCAAGACTATGTGATGCTGGCGTAAGGAAAGGCATATAGATCGATGGCACAGAACGGAGTCCAGAAATAAGCACATAAATCTACGGTCAGTTAATTTTTGACAGGAGTGCCCAGACAATTCAATGGGGGAAAGAACAGTCTTCTGCACAGATGGCGCTGGGACAACTAGATATCCGTATCTAAAAGAATGAGGTTGGGTTTGTACACATACCACAAAGTTTAACTCAATAGACTTAAAAAAAAATCCAAAAGTATAAAATTCTTAGGAGGAAACATAGGATCTTGGATTAGGCAATAGTTCACACAGATCTGATAACAAAAGCACAAAAAACAAAAGAGGAAATAAGCTGGACTCCATCAAAACTAAACAATTTGTACGGTACACAAAACCATCGAGCAAGTGAACGGACCAGACTAGAGAACGGAAGAAAATATTTGGAAATCCTCTCTCTCACAAGAAGCATCCCGAATACACAGAGAAATGTCACAACTCCGTTATTAGAGATAACTCAGTTAAAAAGATGAGCCGAGGACTGAAAGAGCGGTTTCCCAGATAAGATAATGGCCAATAAATACATGAAAAGATGTTCATGATCAGTCATTAGGGAAATGCAATTCAAAACTACAGTGAAATACCACCTCACACCCACTGGGATCACTATAAAAGATGGGTACTAGCAAATAGTGGTGAGAATGCAGAGGAACTGGACTCATACGTAGCTGGTGGGAATGCAAAATGGGACGGTCTCTGGAAAGGTTTGGCAGTTCCTCAAAATTACCCAGAATTACCATAGAACCTAGCACTTCCACCCGTAGGCACGCGTATACCTAAGAATTAAAAGCACACGTCCACACAGATGGTCGTGAACGTTCACAGCAGCATGATTCACAGTAGCTGAAAACTACTAATTCATGCTGTGGCACGGAGGAACCTTGAAAACACGGTAAGGGGGAGAAGCCAGTCGCAAAGCCACAGAGGTTATGATTCCATTTACGTGACTGTCCAGCAGAGGCAAAATCTCCAGACACAGGGGATTAGCACTGGACGCGGTGGATAGAGTGGAGTGACAAGTAACAGGTGTGTCTTTCTTCTAGAGGGAACCAAAATGTCCAAACTTAGCGGTGATGTCTGTACAACCCTGTGAATATACTAAAAAACACTTTTAGGTAAGTTGTATGGCCTGTGAATTATTTCTCCCTAAAGCTGGTACATAAATAAAATCCATGTCATGTATGTTCTCTACAACGTGCTTCATGACCTTTGTAATTAACTCCACAAAATAAAAGCTTTGTACTTAGCTTTTTAAAAAAGTATAAGGAAGCAAATAAATTCCTCCTAAACCTATCCTGCAGAGTTGACTTTTCCTTTTAACCTTTTCCTAAGTACGTCATCTACCTGTCAATACACCAACATCTACACACGTGTGTGGCCGAGAGCGAAGCTGCCCACACTTGTCTTCCCGACTCAGGCCCCATCACTGCATCCTCATCCCCAGCCTCGAACCGGCTGGTGGGCAAACAACATTTCAGCTCTGATCTCTGTGTATGAATATTTCTCCTCATCTCTATATTTTGTTAGAACACATTCTTGAAATGTGGAATCACCACGGTCAAAGGAATGGACGTTTTCTAAAGCTTTTGTCATCATCGACCGATTTCGCCCCGGAGGAGTTGTGCCTACCTAGGATGGGAGAGGGCCCGCGATGTCCTGCCAAGAACCGGGAGTTACTGGGAGTTGCTCTAGAAATCCCCTTGACACGGTTGATAGTGACAACTGGCACATCATTTGAGTAGAAGTGCAGATTAAATCAGACCGAAGAGGACTAAAGCTCATGGTCGCAGACGGCCGCAGCCAACGCCACCGTCCTCTTGGGTGGCGCCAGGCTAAGCTGAGCGTCACCAGAGGCTGTCTGAGCCCTAAGAGCCTGAGGCCCCCGGCGGATGCTCCACCTGCTGACCATGCCAGCACCGTCCAAGATGTGCTGGGTGGGGCCGTGCACATCCTGCAGACAGGACAGTCGTGTGTGCCCTCCTCCTGCCCGCTGACCCATCCCCGGCCGCCGGGCCACAACCCCGCTGCGCGCCCGGGACTGGCGGCGTGTGCGCGCTGAGCCGGCCGGCAGGGGGCGCTGCAGAGCTTGCCTCCTGGCGGCTCACGGGTCCGCAGGGCCGGAGGTCACCTACCTGAAGCTTGCGGAGCTGCTTGATCACTTCATCCCTCGCCTTGTTCGCCGCCTCGATCTGGGCTTCAAGGTCCTTCAGGTCTATTTCCAGTTTCTTCTTGGAAGCGACCGCCAGCGCCCGCTGCTTCCGCTCGTCCTCCAGCTCCGCCTCCAACTCCCGCACCTGGTGGACAGCATCGGGTCAGGCCCGGCCAGACCCTGGGACCCCTCGCAGGGACAGGCGGCCTGGCATCCAGACGGTGACTCTGTGGCAGCTCTCTGGAGCTGAAGTGTGTTCAGGGAGGTCTTGAACGGTAATGCCTTGTATGCACCATTCCCGCGGGCTACTGTGGAGCACGGGAAGGCGGAGTCCGTGACCTCGGGCTCCTAGCCAAGGTGATGACACACGGAAAGCCGGCAGACATCTCTTGCAGGGACACTCAAGGGCCTGTGGATCGGCCCCGCGGCAAGGAGCCAAGGTCTCGGACCAGGACCCCGGGCTCGGGGGGGTCGGGGGGAGCCAGCCTGGACGTGGGTCCTCTGGCCCAAGTCAGGCTTTCAGACGATGTACCTGCCCCGTGGATTCAGAATTCCAGACCCACAGAAACTGGGAGCTATGTAAGTGCTGTTCTGAGTCACTAAGTCTGAGGTCACTGGTTATCTAGCAAGAAATGGCTAATATATTAAATACTAGTGCCTGACAATAATGAAACAGATCTATCCCAGATCCAAGACTTGATACCACCAACTCCAAGGGACTGTCAAAATAGCCACAATTAGTTTTGAAAGTGAACTTACAAATTAGAAATCTCACATACATTCAGAAAAGTATACAAATCGTAAGTGCCTGGCAACTTTTTAAAACCAAAAAAAGGAGGGCGCCCAGGTGGCTCAGTCGGTGGAATGTCTGCCTTCGGCTCAGGTCATGATCCTGGGGTCCTGGGATAGAGCCCCGCATCGGGCTCCCTGCTCAGCGGGGAGTCTGCTTCTCCCTCTACCCCCCCCCCATGCTCTTTCTCAAATAAATAAAATCTTAAAAAAACAAAAACAAAAAAAGGAGAATCATCTGGCTTTTTTCCCTCTGAGGAGTGCTTTCATGAGGGCATGTGATCTGAACTTCAGAAATGCGGAGTCCCCTCGTCAGCCGTGGCGGCTTCTCTCCTTCACCCACACGTTTAAGACTCCCCAACCTTGAACCTAACTGCATTGTCTCTTGAGGTCCCACCGAGGGCTATGTAATTACCGAGAAGTTTCCTGGCCCGTAAGCAGCAGTGGTGGTGTTTGATAAATAAGGAAATAGAAAATCAGAAACAAGTACACTAAACTTTAAAGACCAAATGTTCAACTACGTTGGTTTTCCTCCTGCTAACGTGTTCTGACGTGAACGAACAGGATACTGACCCACAGCCAGACTTCAAGAACGAGCAGGTTCCTGTTCCCGAGGCTGCGCTGCCTCTGACCTACCTGTTTCACCAGGAGCCGCTTCTTTTCTTCGTTCTGCTCGTCTCTGGTCTGCAAGTCCCTCTCGAACTGGGCCTTCATGGCCTGCATGTTGACCTCTAGGCGAAGCTTGGCGTCCTCCGTGGCCTGAAGTTCATCCTCCAGCTCTTCGAGCTGGGTCCTCATCTCCTCCACCTGCTGCTCCAGGGCGCGCTTCGATTTTTCAAGTTCATGCACCTAAAGCACAGGAAGCAGTAGGGGAGAGATGACCCCTGGCAGAGGCGCAGACGGGGACGGCCGTCTGTGTCTTCCGTCAGAGGCCCCCACGTGGCTCGAAGGCCACTCTGGTCCCTTCCGGGCCGGCTTCCTCCCCATGTCACACACATCCTTCCCTCTCCTGCTACGGCCTGTGCCACTCCTCATTTTGGAGGATGCCACTTAGGGGACAGTTTGGAGCTCCTGATCGACACGCGCCCCATAACCACTAAGTTGTTTGCCGATGACCTTGAGGCGGAGCGAACTTTACGAGCCAAAGAACAACGGAACGAGTGCGGTGTCAGAGGAACTGGGCTGCTGACTGGCCATCTGCCGGCCGTCTGTGCGTACAAGGCACTCAGGACATCCCGTCCTGCCGTGGGGAAGGTGGCTGGGGCCAAAAACGCACGTGGAAATTCCAAATAGTAAGGCGAGTTAGGTCAGGGAAGCAGGGTGCGGGGAAACAGAGACCTGGCCTTCCTCTGGACAAAGATCCCCATCGCAAACATCTACCTAGTTCTCTGGGCCAGGTGCCTCCACCCCCCGGGACACCCTTCAGGTGCAGGCGCTCTGCCTCCCCTCTGGGGCTCACGGGGGCAGGAGGAGGTAGGGCGGGAGGCCCTGGCGTCTCTGCAGCGTCTGCTGCTTCTTAGGCACAATGTCTGTGGAGTGAATGGGACTGTTGATGATTCTAGCGAACGACTAATACGAACGAGCAAACAACGGGGTGCCTGGCTGGCGCAGATGGGGGAGTGTCTGACTCTTGATCTCAGGGTTCTGAGTTTGAGCCCCGTGTTGGGCGGAGAGCTCACTTGATTAAAAAAAAAAAAAAAAAACAATGAAAGTAACTGGAGTCTTGCTCTACATTTTACTGTGTAATCATGGCCGTTTCTGCTCTAGGCGACCTCTTGCCTGTGGGGCTGATCCGCTAGGCACCGGGTTGTTGGAGACCCAACGGGAAGGTAGGATGGCCTTCCCTCCTTTATGACGGGGCCGGGGCGCCCACATCCCATGAAAATGAGACGCTATGCTTTTCAAAGAGCATAGTGTTGTGGCTTCATGAAACAGGGGAGGTATCCTGTCCATTGGGCAGATGACATAACTTGGGCTCAAGAGATCAAGTGGTTTCTCCTGCTGAGAACAGAAGCTGGGGGGAAGAGCCGAGCCCCAAACCTGTTTCTGACCCCAGGCCTGGCTTCGCCTCGCCATCCTCCACACCTCATGCACCTAAGGGAGGGGCGTGGGGCACATAAAAATCATCGCAGTTCTCGTGGAAGTGTGTGTGCGGTGAAAGGACAGGACCGCAGAAATTTCCAGACGGTGAATGAGTGCCCAGGGCGTTTGACCGGGAAGGCCGGGGTCAGGGAGAGCTGTAGGTGCCTCCGGCCCCCCTCCGGGTTCCCGCTGCCCTCGGTCTGAGGGGCCCTCGAGGTACTCGTGTTTGGTGACTCCCTGGGACTCGGGGCCGAGGACATGCCTTCTTCAGCGTCCCCCGCCAGGACGCAGGGGAGGGCGGGGAGCACCCATGAAAGTGCCATCAGTAAACAAGGCCTCCCCATCTGTCAGCGCTGCTACGAGAACAGACCACACAGAATCTGACAGGTGCTCCCCAAAGACGTCAGCCCCCTTCCTTACGCGCCGGCCTGGACGCCCCCGGACCCATCAGGCGCTTGTGGGGAGTCACCTGCCCCCCTCCGAGGACTGGTCCCCAGGGCTACTCACGTTCTTCCCCACGTCATCCTTGGAGCTCATGAGGTCTTCCATGTCTGTCCGAAGCTGCTTGTTCTGTCTCTCATACTCCTCCTTGGCCTCCAGAGCTTCCTCGAGGGCCCGGGCCAGGGACAGGGCTTTGGTCTCCTTCTCTCTGGCCTCCGCCTCTGCGCGGTCTCGCTCTTCGGCATAGCGAGCGGAGATGTTCTTCTCTTCCGCTAACAGCTGTTGGGGGGCGGGGGGGATGGCGGCGGGTTAATGCGGACAGCGGCTTAAAGAGCGACAGAACTACTTTGCCTTCTCTGCGTGTCTGACTTACAGTGAAGCACAGCACCAGATTAGGGCTGTTCTCCTATCTCTTTTTGCTTCTCTCCTTTTCCAACTTTCTACAGATGATTTTAAACCATAAGCCACCCAAGGGAGGGCGCTGCCAGGAGGAGACCGCATGCGGCACCGGGGACCCACCTGGTCGAACTTCTTCTGCTTCTTCTCCAGGTTGGAGGCGATCTGGCGCTGGTGGTCCAGGTCCACCGTCAGGTCGTCGAGCTCCTGCTGCAGGCGGTTCTTGGTCTTCTCCAGCTTGTCGTAGGCCAGGGCCTTCTCCTCCAGGCGCTGGCCCAACGCCTCCGCATCTTTCAGAAGCTTCTTTCTGGCTTCTTCCAAACTCTCGATTGTTCCTAAGTCGTCATCTACTTTCTTCTTGGTGTCCGTGAGCTAGGTTTTACGGGAAGAGAGATGCGCGTCAAACAACCCCGTTGATGCTTACAGGTGAGGAATAGAGAGAAGGTGAGTTCGAAATCAACACTGTGTGACTTTGAGCAAAGGAACCTTCGAGTGTAACTGAATTTCTTAGCTAATAATCCACAAAGGGATGACTGGTTTGAATGGCGGACACGGTCCTAGGGCTTTATTTTAAATGCTTCCGGCACCATAACCACCAGCGTGGTATCGGCATGTGGCTGGGTCAAGGGAAAAACCCTTCTTGGGCTTAATTTAGTGCAACCTAATTAACTGTCCCAAATGCAGATGGGACGACGCAGCGCGGCAGGGACAGGTAGGCCAGCGCGGCTTCTGGGGGGGGCGCGCGTGCACCTGGGACTGCAGGGCCAACACTTGTTTCTCCAGATTCTTCCTGGCCTCCTCCTCCTCCTCCTGCTGCTCCTGGAGACTGTTCTTCTCCTCCTCCAGCTGCCGGATGCGGCTGCTCAGGTTCAGTTTCTGGCGCGTCTCCTCCTGGAGAAGCTCCTGTTTGTTTTCGTGAGAGATCAAGACTGAAGTCACATCAGGCACCAAAAGAAAAACACCTCTTATAAAAAAACAACTTCACGTCACGAACACCAGAGCGCCTCGGTGCGTGCGCAATACCCAGTGACAGTAAGAGACGGAAAGGATTCAGAGACACATGTGATAATTTTATAAACGCTCCTACCGGAAATACTGCGTCATGCTGGTCGTTGAGGAACGGCAGCCCTGTCCACCTGGCGCCCGGGCCGCCTTCCCTGCTCCTCCTGCATCTTTGCACTTTGGCAAATCCTCCCTCCGCTCCCCTGTCCCTTAGTTCAGGCAACTTGGCACTTCTCACTACCACCCCCTCTAGGATCGGGCCGCCCCTCCAGCGTCTGTCCTTTAATACTTTCTGCCAGACTCATTTTTCTAAAATGTCAATGCAAACGTGTCTTTCCCATTTACTTTCAGACTTGAAAGTTTTCAAAGGCACGCAGAGGGCTTTCTGTGCTGACCAGGATACGCCTCGTCACCACGTAAGCCCCCTTCTTTGTCTGAGATTTTTACCCCTGTATCCCCAGCATCTAGCAAACCCCCGTTCCTATAAAGTTAGAAAATTTAATACAAAGAAGATGTCAAACTCCAAGAAAAAAATGCTACGTTATTTTTATATCAAAGTCAATATCCTGATTTCTCTCAGACTGGAAGACACTCCCAAGGCACGTTTTGATACGGGATTTAACCATAGGATTTAGCGAGCTTCAACCTGTCCTTTTACGGTAGGGACTCTCTGTGAGGTCAGGGTCATGGAATTTCAGCCATAAGAAAACAGTCTTAGTGCAAATGGCCAGCAACGCTTGTGCGCGCAGGAGGATGGCTGCTTGGACCGCATCCCAGGCGGTGCCTGATGGTGCGAAGCAGGGACCAGGGGCTCCGCGTCGAGTTACGAGCTTCGGAGATTTCCTTAGTAGCAAGACGGTTCCAAATAAAAGTTGAGCATAAAACCAGAGATGATCAGAAAGCCATTCTGGGACCAGCTTGTAGACGCGAGACACAGCAGGGCTACCATCAGGGGCCCTCACCCCCCAGATTACCTGTGTGTCCTGCAGTTGAGACTCAAGACCAGCTGCATCCTTAGCAAATTTAATACCCTTCTTCTCTGCTTCTTCCAGAAGACTTGAAACATTGTCCAGTTCATTCTGCAAGGAGTACAAGATTCAGTTCATCAGTAAGCAAATAGGAAGGGTCCACATTCACCACTCTTAAATGCACACAAACAGCAATATTCGGGGGAGGGGGGTGATCCTGCAAACTGCCAAACCCAATTAAGGAAGACTTCCATCACGGAGGGCCTGCTACCTGCTGCCAGTGACCCAAGAGGCAGGCACGGCGCCAGCCGCTGCGGGACTACAGACAGGGAGGATTAGAACGGTGGAGCCCACACACGGAGTGGGGTTCTCCTAACTCTGCTTTACCATCTTGTTGTTCTATCCCGAAGGGACAGAAAGAACACTAAATCCTCCCAGGGATTGCTTTGCTGCGTGAAGAGGCTCTGAGATCAGCAGGTGTTGGATCTTGGTCCTTTTTCACACTAAGATGCATTAATCCTGTGTTGGGCGGGGTTGGGGGGTGGGGCAGTACATTCATATCTTTATAGAACTTGAAAACTTTATTATAATGGAGAGTCAAAGAAGTTTAACTCCTTAGTCTTCAGTCCAAAGTACTTTTGAGGCTTAAAGATCTGTTGGCACAGATTTATCATGAATATTCAGCTATCTCTTATGGTCAGATTTCATGAATAATGTGGTAACCACCCCCCCCAATCCCCATGGTATAAGACCTTTTGTAATCTTTTCTCAGGGACAGCGGGACACCCCCCCCCCACTCTGGTTTGTCCCCCGGTCATATTAGCAAAGGGGAGGCGCACACAGTATACATGTGACCCAAGCCAAGGACATTTCTGTTTGTACTCATTTTAGCAACAGCCTCTGGAGAGCCCACGCGTCCGCGGCCCTGGCAACAGCGTGGTGGTGAAGAGCTCTGGACTCGACAGAGACCTCGCCTTCAGCTCTGGCTCCGGGAGCTGCCAGGGGAGTTGCCAGAGGGCAGCGCCCTCCTCCGCTTCTTTGAGGCGCCCAGACTCACCCAGGGGGCGCGGTGTGCGGATCGAAGGGGAGACCACCCCCAGGAGCCGGATGTAGGCTCAGCTCGCCTCCCCGCCACACAGATGGTAACACGGGGGAGCACTAACGCCGTTTAACATCTTCTCTTTTGAGAACACAGGAAAGAGTTAACAGAGGAGGCTGGGACTGCTCTCCTTAGAAGGGCCCGTGGCTGGCGTGTGGGAACCTAGACTTCCAGAAAGCGCCTACCATTCCCTAAAATAGAAAGGCTCACTGTGCCGAGGTGGCTGGTGTAAACACCGTGTGTTACGCTGAGCACCTGCTTCCCCTCTGGGATCTGAGACACTGGCGTGTGTCAGGCAGAGGGGCCCATGGGGCCAGCCCCCCACCACACGGCGAGCTTCCCCACGCACGTTCCAGCTCGCTGCGGGAGGAACGGGGCGCTGGGTGGGCCTGCCCCCCAAAGGACTGCCGGGAGCTCGCACGCGGTGTCCTCGGGGCCCCCCACCTTTCCCCTTTATTCACTTGCTTTGTTAATCCTTCCACTGTACGAACTAGGGCCACGAGCAGGACCACGCGCCGCGTCCCGGAGTCGGCCCAGCGAGTCGCTGACCCGCGGGCTGTCCTGGGTCCTGGGTGCCCGACAGTCGCGGTCCTGTGATTGGTTTTTAGCTCAGCAGCACAGAACGTACATCTCTCCTAACGGATATTCATCTGCTGCATCGGTTTTCCTAGCTGCATGCAAGTCCATCCTGCCCTGAGCCGAGATCAAGGGTTGGACGCTTATCCCACTGAGCCACCCAGGCGCCCCTGATTTTGATTTCTCTAGTTTTTAAAAATGGTACTTATTGATTTTAAGCCATCTCTGCAGCCGGCGTGGGGCTTGACCTCACGACCCCGAGGATCAGGAGTCACGCGCTCCTCTGGCTGAGCCGGCCGGGCGCCCTCACGCCGTCCATTCTTCAAGTATTAGTGAACTTGGAGCGGCTCACACTGGCCAGGGCCTGCGGAGGGGCGCGCCTGCCATGGGGGGGGGGCCCGTGCAGAGCCCAGCGCCAGGCTGCCCCCGGCTTACCTGGAGCTTGTTTGCTTTCTCGGCCAGCTCCACACGGAGTCTGTCCCCTTCCGACACCTTGGCGTGGAGTTCCTGCACCTGCGCGTCGAGTTTCTTCCTCTTGTGCTCGGACTCGGCCTTGACCTGCTGCAGCACCTTCACCTCGCACGCCAGTTCCTTGTTGTCGGTCTCCAGGCCCTGCTTGTTCTTCTCAAGATTCGCTTTGAACTAGGAGGCGAAGGAAGAGAAATGTGCTATTTTTAGAACATTCCATACAAGGCGCTGCTTTTTCCACTGGTGGGATCGCGCCCGCTCCGTGGTCTGCCATCAGCATCTGAATGAAAACCTCCGTTCTTCTCGGAGGGTGAAGTTTCTACAGCAGGGACGCCCTGGCGCACGCTGCCTGGGGGGCGCGGGGAGACCCGAATATTTAGGGGCTCACTGCACCATGGCCTTTATCCTTGTCAGCCTAGCGTGGGGGCGACAGACAGGGCGCATCTGTCCAAAGTGCCACCGTTCATTCACGTTACCCTTGGTGTAAGACACGTTCTGTTAGTTCAGAGAAGTATTTTTAACAAGGAGCTGCGAGTCTTGTTGCCGGGCTGAGACTGATGCGGTGTGTCAGACGAGTGCACGCATGTTGGTGCAAGGCGGCTCACAACAGGCTGGCTCCCTGCAGGGGCCGCCCCGGGAGGACTCGGGACTGGGGACGGGCCCTCGAGGCCGTGCGGCGGGGGAGGGGGGGTTCCGTGGGGGCTCCAGGGCCACACTCCCCGGCTTCCCTCTCCCTGGCCGCTTACTGGCTGTGCGACCCTTGGGTAATCTCCGAACCCCGTCAGCAGAGTCTACCCCACAAGGTTGTAGTAAAAGTCAAAGGCAGCGCGCGTCGAGTACTCAGCGTGGCGACGGACGCATACGGATGCCGACGTCCGTTGGTGTTGCTATTGTGAGCGCGCAAATCAGAAGGTGGCATGTGGACGGGCAGGGGAGGAGTATGGGGAATAACGAGGAAGAAGGCTCATCTGCCCAGGGGTCAGAGCTGCACGAGATGAAGCGTGGAGCCGGGGGGAGGACGGGAAGCCGACGTGAGACAGGGGCGGCGACAGGCACAGTGGCCTGAGACAGACCAAGGGCAAGGATGGGCGAGGAGGGACGGGGAGGGGAGGCTAAGGGGCACGGGAAAAACCAACAGGACTCGGGGACTGGCTGGCAGCACGAGAGAGACGTCAGACCGTTCGAGGTTCCTGAGCTCATCGTCGGGAGGGGACACTGGTGGGGGGACACCCTGGGAGGAGTGTGGGATTTGCAATGGCAGCCGGACCCACCCACTCATTAACACACACACACAACCACGGGCACGTGGCTCTTGGAGGTCGGCAGCCACCGGGAGCGTCCGAGCGACTCCGTACTGAGTGGACGGGCCGGGGGGGGGGTTCTGGGGGCGGTTTCCCGCAGACGCGGACACGGGCGGCCCCCGCCTCTCTCACCCGCTTGGCCTGCTCGAGCTGCTCCAACAGCTCCTCCAGGGCCGTGGCATGCCTCTGCCGCACGTCCTGGATCTGAGCTTCGTGGCTCCTCGTCTCTTCTTCCAGAGCCTTCTTCAGCTCAGCCACCTCCTGTTCGCGCTTGGTGCTAGACAAACGTATTTTTAGAGAAAGCAGCTCAGAATCAGGGGACCGAGACGGAATTAAAAGGACATTTCTAAGGTGCTGTTTTGGTTTTAAGTATGCTCGGCTTTCCCCAGAGGTGACAGACGTGGGCTCAGTTATGGCTCTCACGTTTGCCAAGTCCGGGACCTCGCACAGCTCGAACTCTGGACCTCGGTTTCTCCATCTGCACCCTAGGGTCTCGGGAGGCCGCTGTGAGACTCGCATGTGGGAAGCGCCCGGCACAGGGCCTGGCCTCTAACAGCGCTCAGTACATTCGGGATGTTGTTATGGTCACGGAAAATATATCACGTTAATTCCTTTGAAAGAATTATTGGGCCTGTGACGACAATCAGACGCGGGCCTCGGACTGCTCTGGGCAGCCCGGTTGCCTGGCAGACGCGAGATGCCACAGCGCTAGCTGACCTCTCAGCGAAACTGGAAAGGGTGAATCTGAAGAGGTTTCAAAAGCTAAGGGGCAGCCAAAAGCTAAGGGACACTGCGTCCCGACAAAGGCGGGACTCTAACCATCCTGGGAGGTGGACCCCCTCCCGAGACTCCATCAGGAGGTGGCTGAGGCTGGGAGGAGGGACAGGAAACTAGAGGCAGGCGCAGGGGCCCCACTCTGGACGTACAAGGTCTCCGGAGTTTGGAGGGGCCAGAGCCTGGGCTCTGAATGTCCTGAGATGAACGGAGGTCTCCTCTAACCTAAACTTGGGGACTAAAGATCGCGGGAGCGTTAAGTGTCTTTATGTGGCTTTCCAGTACTTTTATGATTTGCTCTAACACACGGTGGGTAGGCTGAAAGACCGAGGTGGTTTCGCTAACTAAGAAGAGACTTCACAAATCCGTCCATCTGAGCACATGGCTTGGTAAAGACCGAAGCTGCTCAAGGCTGCAGGACATCGGGACACGGAGGAGCTGTGACCTGCCAACCCTCCTGAAGAATAAGTCTATGGTTCCAAACACGTGAGCGGGACAGTGACTTGGGGGTGGACCCCGTGGGCACATTCTCCTCCCTCTCCCAGTGGATTGGGGGGCCCGGGGGCTGCTGGCTCTGGGGTCACAGGGCAGCCGGACGGAAGGGATCAGCGAAGGTTCTCTGGTCTAGCCGGGCTCAGCCGCAAGCTTGCTGGTCGGGCCCCGTCCCCGCGGGCTCCTCGAGACGAAGGGACCGGCCGAGGGGGACGGACGCCGGAGCGAGCGCCGGGCCCGACAGACGCCCCGACAGGCGCACACACTCCGTCTGGTGACCTCAGCTCACCCCAGCGCGTGACCAGCACTTCCGTGGAAGCCGCAGCCCTCCTGCCGTCCGAGCGCCGTCCCTCCGGGGAAGAGTCCCGCCCAACTCCCACTAGCCCTCCTCCCCCTCCAGGCGGATCAAGCCAGCAGCCCCCCGGCTCTCCGGGCAAGTCCCCCGAGAGCGACGCGCCGAGTCCGCTGCAGGCGCTGGGTGTGCTGAGGACGGTGACCGTCCGCGACCCCCGGGATTCAGAATGCCCAGGGACGAACCGGCTGGGGGGCAGGGGTTCCTCAGCGAGAGGTGCGCACGGCTGTGGTTTTAATAAATATGCACGTGTGCTTGTCTTTTTCATTTTTTGGCAAGAGTGAACGGAAGAAATGATCAGAGCCTTTTTTCTATTGTGGCCAAAAGTCCGGCTGAGAACGGGTATTTCAGCAAAGTCCAGTTCAGCGGTTTCCAGGTTTTGAAAGCAGACGTTTTACAGAGAAGACCAGAACTTAACGTTGCCGGCAGCAGAGCTGTTCTGCGGGGGGGTTGGGGTGGGACTCGGGGCGGGGAGGCCTGCCTGGCTCAGACGGGCTCCAGCAGAGCTCCCCCCAGCTGTCTCGGGGGACGCAAGCTCCGCGTGCATTCACGGACAAAGTCCCTGGCACATCGTTGGGCTCCCCGCCTCTGCTTCTTCACCCCCGACACCCACAACCTGACCTCCGCCTCCCGGGCACACCCGTGACGTCAGTCTCCGGCCACGCCCCCTGGTGAGCCCACCCTTGTCCTCCAGGGAAGGGCACCCCCAGGTCGTCTCCTCCCTCTCTGCCCACACCTGTCTTCTGCGCCTCCTGCTTTATTCCAGGCCTTCCGGGAGGACAGCCTGGAGCAGCCCCGGCCGGTGTGCGTGTGTGTGCACGAACGCACGCCTGTGCACGCAGCCAGCCACGTCTAGTGGCCAAGGCATCCGGGGGGGCCTCATGCCCCTGGCAGCTCGAGCCTTCAGGGAGCGGACGGTCGAGAAGAGGCCCAGGCAGCCACGTGGGAGGTCCCGTCAGTGGCTCGTGGGAGCCCCTCTGCCCGGCCTGCTCCCCGGCCTGCCGCTCTCGCTCTCCTGTGACCTCTGGGGGGGCTGGTGAGCTGGGGCTTCGGTACGTGCACCTTCTCCGGGTGCGCGCACCCGTGCCTGGGGCCATTGGCTCACCAGTCACACAGCACACGCCTCTGCCCAATGCGCACTCCTGTCCGGGGACCTGCCCTCGCCTTTCTCTCTTTGCGAGTGTGAGCGCGTACCTCCCTTCTCATCTGCCCGCCCACAGCCTGAGCGCCCCTGATCTCCCCCCATTCTGCGTCTGGCCCTCCCGTCCCCGTGACCCTCTCTCTAGGCCTCTCACCCAGGCTGCGCGCCTGCCCCGCGGGATCCCACCCCGCCCTGCACACGTCCGTCTGCTGGTTCACTCCCCCCCCATGCGGGATGGTTTCTGACCCCGGCTATTCTGTTCCCGTTCCACCTGCCGTAGGGAGAGAAACAGCCAAACTAACAACAGAAAGGAAATCCTGCACCTCCCAAGGACGGCCAGCACGTCCGGAGCCTTTCCGCCCGACGCCACTCACCGGAGTTCCTGCTGAGCCGCGGTGGTGTCCAGAGTGTCCTCCAGTTCTGTCTTCAGAGCCTCCAGCTCCTCACTCAGGTCCCTCTTCTGCTTTTCTGCCTTGTTCCGTGAAGCCTTCTCAGATTCGAAGTCTTCCTGGAGCTCGGCGATTTGGGCCTGCAGCTCCCGCACCACCTTGAGAGCGTTGTTCTTGTGGAGCGTCTCGTCGTCCCCCCTGTGAAGACATCCAGAGGGACCGTGTCCGGGCGACGCCCCCCCGAGAGCCAGGAGCAGCAGACCCCGCAGCGGACTCGAGCCCAGCCCCCTCTCCAAAGGGCAACAATTCTCCGTTAAAAGGAAGGACAGGCTCATTTTCACGATCAGAATAGAAAAAAGTTCCCTCTCGAGCAAAGTGTCAGAACGAGAACACCGCTCAAGGTGGCACCAGGCCAAAGTGTCCGGCCTACAGTGAATCCAGACATGCTCCTGGGACGCGGGGGGAGGCGCGACATGCCACCCTCACCCCTGCCGTCCCCCCTCGGCTCAGTGCTGGCAGACCCTCTGCCTGGAGTCGAGGGAAGGGGCGCTGGGGGACGGGATAGCCCGTGTGGACAGCTGTGTTCCTGGATTCTAGCTCTCACCTCTAAGAGGAAAAGCAGAGTCTGGCCAAACTAAGACCGACTGTGAGAGACGACTGGAAAGAAAATTCTGTTACGAGATGTACTCGGTTGTAATAAATTATGACCACGTAGCCAAGTGGTTATACATATACTTAGTATCCGTAATTTCCATTCTAAAAGGGAATGCTTTAGAACTGAACAACAAATCACACTCTAAGTGTGGGGGGTCATCTCTGAAAAGGGATTTCCTCTCGACTTCTAAAACGCACCGTGAAATTCATTTCTACTATACAGAAACCAAAACATTTGCTATGGTAAAATAATGTCTTCTGGGGTGGATTTCTGGGGACCTCGTGACACGACTCAGGCGTCTGATGTGTGAAGCCCCTGGCTGGTTTATGTGAGCTTCCTGCTAACCTGACGCAAGTCAGGGACTCCCGGGTCCCCAGGCGCCTCCGTCATACCCACGACAAGGAGGCTACGTGCCCCCGGCCCCGGGTCTCTGCCCAGCCCAGACGCGAGGGGCTCGGTGGGGGGCGCCGCCTATGGCGGGGGCGGCTCAGGGGACAGCGCGGGGCCGGACGCAGACCTGGCCAGCGCGCCCTGTAGCTCCTCCTCCTTCTTGACCAGCTGGACCTTGAGCTCGTCGATCTGCGCCTGGAGCTCAGCGATCTGGTCCTGCAGGTCGGTGGTCTCCCCGTCCAGTTTTCTCTTGGCCTTTTCCAGCTCCTGACGCGTCTTCTCTTCCTTCTTTAGGCGTTCTGTAAGGCCAGAGCCGAGAGAAGCTCTTCAATGCCCACGAACGGTGCGCCGGACGAACAAATTCAAACTACAGACCGACTGAAGTCGAAAACCAGCCGTTTGACTCAAAAGCAGGTCATCGCACAGCCGTTAGCATCAAATCGAAGGCGAGAGAAGTCAATGGGAGGATGGAATTTCGGGGAAGATACGGGGGGGGGGTTCTTAAGGATGTCCCTTTGTGGGAAGTGACCCGGACCCTCTCACGCTGCATCCATCGCCGGGCCCACGTTTGCGGACTGCCCGTCACCCCATGCCCCCTCCCCGGGCATCCCCGGCTGCAAGCAGGACCGCAGCTCCCAGGCAGTAGGGGGAGGGGACGGAGTGCAGGCAGAGGGTCCTGTGATTGCGGCCCTCCCTGCCACCGCTCCCCAGGGACTCCTCAACCACGCCGGGGATCCCTCCCGCCCCACGGTGGTCCTCCGGCCGGCACAGGCTGATCACACGGGTGCGAAGAGCAGGTGCGTGCACCCTGGGTCCTCCCCTAGCAGAAGAACCCCGCTCCGGCAAGATCGGCTTATGACGACCCCTCACCCCGGCATCCTTCCTCGTCTATACTCAACGACAAGACAACAAAACCCTGGGCAGGGGTTTAAACGACCGCTCGCTTTCCGGCCACTAAGAAAGCAGAGTGTTGAGAAGGTGCAGTCGGGGCCCGGGGCCCTCCTCCTGCAGTGTAGACGCCAGGGTCTGGCCCGGGGAGCGACCTTAACTACAAAGGAGCGAAAGCCCGTCGTGAACGCTTGCAGGCGACAGGCTAGGCAGGACACAGTAACTGCAAACAGTCAGAACTGGATCCAAACGGATCAACCGGCGTGCGCGTCTTCCGTCAGTTACTGCTCTGTTGGGGGTACGGAAAAACCCGCAGGGGCCCGGCCTCCGTTTCTCCGACCCCAAACGCTGACCTTCTAGATCCGAGATCATCACTTCCTGCTTATTCCTGATTTTGGCCAAGTTTTTGGCCTTTTCTTCCTCCTCAGCCAGCTGAGAGGAGCACTCCGCGATGCGGTCTTCCATGAGCTTCTTTTCCTGAGGACAAAGAACCGACTGCTTCGGAGAAGGCCTTCCAAATCCCCCCTCGGGGGCCTGGTCTTGCTCAGAAAATGGGTGCTCGTGCCCCCCCCCCCGCACCCCCCAGCAGGTCCCACCACTCTGCAGAGGGGGAGCCCTGCGGCTGGTGCAGGGGATGATGGGGCCTGTGTGGACGGGGCCTGGTCACCGAGCAGGGATCAGCGCGTGCGAGACGCACACATCAAACGTCTGGAGGTGGATTTAAATAATTAAACAGTTCTTGTCTTTAGAAATCTATACACGTAGAGCCTTAGAAGAGAAAAGTATGTAAATGAACCCGAATTCTTGAGAATTTCCCGCCGGATGCCCCTTCCAGTGAGTGCATCCACTTTGTAATGGAAATACTCTCTTACTTTGATAAATTTGGAGTTCTGGTCCTCGAGAAGCAGGATCTCCTCTTCCATCTTCTTGATTTTAGCCTCTGCCGTCACCTTTTCCAGCTGGAGTTTTTGGCGAGCGCCTTCCTCCTCGTCCAGTTGCTCTTCCAAGTCCTTGGGAAGCAGAAAACACAGTCAGCGCCCACCTGCCCCACAACGTCCTGCCGCGCTAACCCCGGGAGGTGCGCACGCTAACGTCAAACACCGATTTTTGGTTTTCAGAAGGGCAAGGACATCCTGAGGCGTCACGACGTGAGCCCACCTCCACGCGGGTGGGATCCCAGGGTTTACAGCCAATACGGTAACACACTCGATTTCCCACCCTGCCTCGCTGTCTGTAGTAAACAGACGCAACCGAACAGGGTTCTACATACAGATCAACAAACGGCCAGTTCCAGAAATTTACCCTGGTTGATTCTGGAACGAGACCCGTGTAAAAATGATGAACATGTTACTACGAAAAGCCCCCAAGACACGCCGGAGCGCATGGCAGCATGCGGAACCCGGCACAGACGCGGCCCATGGGCTCTCCCCCCGCCCCCATGTGCCCCCAGCTCCCCGCAACCCCCAACTCCGGGTCATCTTGAAGCAAATCCCAAACCTCGGATTTTCTCTGTAAAACCTTCCAGCTGTCTCTCTAAAACATAAAGACCTCTTAAAAATGCATTTGTTCGTTTGCACTAGAACCCAAGTAAGGTTCACACACCATGACTAAAAATCCTCTAGAGATGCCTGCGTGTGTCCGTCCCTCCCTCCCTCGCTGTTTGTTTTTGAAACAAAACGGAACAGGTCCTTTGTCCTACAGTTTCCCACACTCTGCTTTCTGTCAGGTGCCCCCCTGCACCGCACACTCCTAGCTTCACAAAAGCAGTGAATATAACGGTGTGTTCAGTGTAAGGTCTTTTCTTTTTAAAGATTTATCTGAGAGCGACAATGAGCAGGGGGAGGGTCAGGGGGGAGAGAGCATCCCAAGCAGACTCCCGCTGAGCACAGAGCTGGATGGGGGGGCTCAATCTCACGACCCTGAGATCATGACCTGAGCCGAAATCAAGAGTTGGATGCTTAACTGACTGAGCCACCCAGGTGCCCCTATAATTTCAATTAATAAGCGAATCCATATAATCTGCTTAGAAATCTACGCAAGCAACATAACAGCAGTAACGGGGGTGGATGAGAGGGAGTCACTAGGTTTTCCACAATAATCATTTATCGATGATGTCATCAGGAAATTCATGTTAAAAACAAAATCACACCAAAACCAGCTCCAGTAGTTTTGTTGCAAAGGGTACAGATCAGAAGCTCCTCAAAGCCTCACAGGTCAGAAAAATGACAGAAGAGGGACCAACGAGGTGGAGTTATCCCAGGGACCATCGTCCCTGGGAGATCCTGACTTCTGATACATCTGCTTTCCTCGGATAGAGGAAAAAGGGAAAAAAAAAATCACCTACTTTTGGAATGTGTCTGAATGAATTTACACATCACAGAAGGAGATGATAAATTCGGATAGAAGTGCCAAAACGAGAAGTCAAAAAAGAGTCTAGTAAAGAACGAGATAGAATGTCCTGGAAAAGGAAAACACAATGCGAAGTCTGCTGCTCTATGAGGACATATTGGTTTTCCTAGAGAGACTAAAGAAATGCAGGCATTTTGGGGCACCTTGGTGGCATCCGACTCGATTTTGGCTCGGGTCATGGTCTTGGGGTCATGAGATCAAGTTCTGTGTTGGGCTCTGCGCTCAGCATGGATTCTGGGGGAGATTTTCTCTCTCCCTCTGACCCTCCTCCCACTCGTTCTCTCTCTCTTAAATAAATCTTAAAAAAAATAAAAAAAAAAGAGGACGCCTGGGGGGCTCAGTCGGTTAAACGTCTGCCTTGAGCTCAGGTCATGATCCCAGGATCCTGGGATCGAGCCCCGCATCGGGCTCCTTGCTCAGCAGGGAGTCTGCTTCTCCCTCTGCCTGCCGCTCCCCCTGCTTGTGGTCTCTCTCTCTCTCTCTTTGCAAATAAATAGAAATGCAGGCATTTCACGTGAGGGTACTGAAATCAAGGCTGAGGACACTGGAGGGGACTTTGGGTGTCCTTGTCCCACATGAATCAAATGTTATTTCCGAGACGAGCACATGCTCTTCAAGAGGAAAGAAAATCGAAACTGCTGGTAACACCCCTAAGGAGAGCGCTCGACGGACGGTGAATACTCTAGGTCTCTGTATACTCCAATATAAAATCACGCACGTGAATTTATGTTATAGAAATGTGTTTTTTGTTGGGTCTTACTCGGTCTACGCTGCTTTGCAACCATCCTTAGTTGCACATTAAGGGATCGCCACGAAAATACACCTCTTCTTACTTATAACCGGATGGTCCTACCCTACCATGGCTTAACAATCCCCGACTGTGAAGGTAATTAGATGGCTCGCATCGATTTACGCTTAGAATAAAGTCCCAGAACTAGAATCGCCGGGTGAACGTGCACTTTTTGCAGGTTTGGGGATATTCTGCTCACCTATTAGGAGGTGTGCTGGAAAGCGTCTGTGCTGAACAACGGCAAGTCTCCGGATGAGATACTGCATGGCGTGTTTGCCAAGGAAGTAACGTGCTATCTTTTCTGGGTCTGAGAAATGCCTGAATTCCCTGCGCTTTGCTAACACAAGCTACAGGGTGAGAAAAAATTCAAGGAGAGACCCGGAAGGAAGTTCGGTGCTGGACCCATGAAGGGATGGTGGCTATTGGGACGCCCGGACCCTCAGGAACGTATTCGGGAGGTTGGATGTGGGAGGTCAGGAGAGGATGAGGGTGCGTCCTGGGGCGCGGGCCGGGGAAGCACGGTCCGCACCGTGTGTCTGGGCGTTCAACTGCAGGTACAGCGAGAGGACGGCCTACATCCCGATAAGGCATCCCGATAAGGAAGGGTTGAGGGTTTTATTCTGATTCCTGGCCACCTCCTGGGTCAGGGCCGAGCACGTCTCACGAACCACACCACCTGACAGAGGCCTATTAGGGAACGGAGTGAGCAATGCCATGATTAATGACAACACGGGACAAATGAGGTCCCAGCGTGTTCCTATTCTGAATCCCTGTGTGCCGCTATCTCAGGACGTAAAAATAACAGATCTGTGCTGGAAGACAATCTATTCCTCGTGCACTTGCAGCGATGGTCCTCTGTGAAGGGCCGGACCTGGGACCTTGACTCCTGTCGCTTGTCCCTGGACACGATCCAAAGCCACAGCTTCTACTCACCTTATGCAGCAGAACCACCTGGGAAGCCCAAAACATAACCGGAAATAAAGACTATCATACCCACCTGAATATGCGCTTGCATTTTCTTCTTTTCATTCTGGAGGATTTGGTTTCTTTCTTCTTCTTCTTCGACCCTGGATTCCAAGTCATGGAGAATCTCCTCTAGTTCTTGCTTCTTGGCGGCAAGCCTGGCCCTCATCTCCTCCGCCTCGGCGAAGAGCTCCGTCTCGGCTTGCAGCTGCTCCGTGAGGATGTTCTTCTCTTCCAGAAGCTGTGATCACAAAAAAGTGCCTGGCACAGTCATTTGCCGCGCCCCCACCCCCGCGCCCACACCGGACACAGTCACCATGATTTCAGTGGCCACTGTTCGACAGCAAAGAAACCTAGGGTTAAAAATATGTAACATTGGGGCGCCTGGGTGGCTCAGCCGTTAAGCGTCTGCCTTCAGCTCAGGTCATGATCCCGGGGTCCTGGGATGGAGTCCCACATCGGGCTCCCTGCTCAGCGGGAAGCCTGCTTCTCCCTCTGCCCCTCCCCCTACTTGTGTTCCCTCTCTCGCTGTGTCTCTGTCTGTCAAATACATAAATAAAATCTTTTAAAAAAAATATGTAACATCGCTGGCAAAACTTTCGGATATTCCGTAGCTCCAGCACAACAAGCTAGATGAAAACGGTTTTGGTTGCTTCTGGGGTCTCAGGCTATCCCGAGTAACACTTACTCGAGTCATGCTACTGTCTTCTATGAAGGTCACGGACAAAGGGAGAGGGAGACTGTGGGTCACATGCGTTCACGGTGACGGCCGAGGGGGGCTGGTTTGGAGGGAGAGTCCCGCCTTCATCCTTCACCTTCCTGGCCCTGATGCTACTACTCTGTGGCCCTCGTCTACAAACGCGGCCCCGGGCGGCGCCTGTCACTTCTCCTCCCAAATGCCTGTGCCTTGGGGAGCAGTGAGGACGCGGCGGAGGGCCAGACGCCGCGGCGGGTCCCGGGCGGGTGGGGGGGTGGGGGTGAGGGTCCCCGCCGCGGCCGCACGCGCACCTGCTGGTGCTTCCTCTCCATCTCCTCCAGCTCGCCCTCCACCTTCGTCTGCCTCTCCTTCACCTTCAGCAGCTCCTCGTCTTTGGCCTGCAGCTCCTCCTCCTGGCGGGTCACCTGCAGGAGCGGCTTCACCTGCGACGGAAGCGGGGCGTGAGGGCGGCGGAGGGGGAGGGGCGCGCCGATCCAGGCCCCCCCCCCCCCCGGGAGGGGGCGCGTGCGCGCGGGGCCCACCTTCGTGAAGACCCGCCACCACTGCCAGTGCCGGAGCTTCAGGTAGGCGGCGCAGTTCCGCTGCAGGACCTTGAGCGCGCTCAGCTGCTGCTGCTTCTTGGCGAAGGCCCTGCGGAACCCCGAGCAGGTCAGGGCGGGGCGGGGCGGGGCCCGCGTGCGCTCCCCGCGCCCATGAACCGCCCACGAACCCCTGCTCTCCCGCGGCGGTGAGGACGCCGACACCGACCCTCCCCATCCTCCCCTTGCTGGCGCTCCGGACCCTCCAGCAGCGACTGCTTTTCCTTTCCATCGGCCCCCCTTCCCCAGGTGACTTCCCTCCTCCTCCCCCCACTCTGCAGCCCCGCACGCGGTGGGGCTAATGCCTCGCGTTTACAGACAAGGGCCCAAGAAGTCAGGACACGCAGATGCGCCTCGAACCCCAATCTCGTCGTCACCAAGTCTGGGCTCTCCCACCTCTCCGCGCTGCCTTCTCCGGCCGCACGGCCGAGACCCACTTGTAACTGTCCGGGCTCGAGTATTTTCAATTTCTCGCTCGCCTTCGAGAACAGAGCTCCCTTTCTGAAGCCCCACCTCCCGTCTCTTGCCAAAACAAGCCCCAAGCCCCCGGCCAAGTTCGCCGTGCTGCCCCTCCTCCGAGGAGGCCACTAGTCTGTCTGTGCACGATGGCACTTCCAGGGGACACAGGCTCCGAGGGTCCCCCCCTCGCTCCCTGCCCAGCAGTCTGGCTCTGCCCCATCCCCTCCGGAACCTGGGTTTCCGACACTGTTGGTGGGCTTCTAGACTTGAGCTTTCCCCTCAGCCGGGTCTGTTTTGCCCCTGTGGGCCCCCCCGCTACTTAAAACACTCGGATCCGCTGGGTTTCGGGGCGCTGGGGCGACTTGCGGCCATCTTCCCAGCCAGGAGCGGCTCCCCGGGAGCAGAGAGCACGGCCCAGGTACTCTGTGGTCCCAGCATCCAAGCCAGTGAGCGACATACTCAGGCCCCTCAGAGTACGGCTGCCAGGTCAATGAACGAACATCCGGCACCTCTAGATCTGTGACTGTTCCTCTCGAGACCCTTCCAGAACTCTCTGCAAGACGGGCCATAGGGTTTTCCCGGGGAGAGAAGCACTTGGAGGAGATGGAAAAGACAGTAAGAAACGTTTACAATTCTCTCTCCACTGCACCAACGACCGGTACGTACTGGAGTCACGTAGGACAGTCTTCAGAGCGGAAGGTTCTGGATTTAGGGCACAAGAGGCGACTTTTCGCCCTTCTACTGCCCTGACGTTAACGTTTCCCTGCAGGAGTCCCAGAACCTCCGGATGGCCACCTTGCCGGTTAGAATGTCCTCCAGCCCGCTGCTCAGCTCCCTACAAGGCCTTCTTCCTTCTCACGTATGCCTACCTGCCACGCAGGCTGGGCCAAGCCTTAATTGTAGTGGTTTCTTCAAGAGCAACAGTTTTCAGTATGTCTTTTGAGACTACAAAACAGCATCTGCCTTCCAATTCTCGCAGTTTCCTTCAAGAAACGCCATCACAGTCCCCCAGTCTCCGTACTGAGGACCGTTGCCCCGGTGCATCCGTGGGCCTCTGGGAGAAGATGGCCAGAACGGGTCAAGAACACGCCAGTCGCTCGTCTGAACGAGGTGGCTGGTTTTCCTTCCCTGCAACCCTCAGCGGAACCCGAACGGCTGCCGGGTGCGGGCACCGTCCCACTCTCTTCGCGGGGGGTTCGGTGACCCGCGTCTGCAGCCGAAGTGTCAAAGCCACCTGTTTCTTCCTGCTGCTTCCCCAGTGCATCCTGGGCGCCCCGACGTCAAGTTCACGGACTCTGGGGCACCAACGGGCCCGAATCCTAAGCCCAGCCCGGCGCGTACCTAGCGTGACTGACGGGCTGCAAGGGACCGAGCCGCTCCCTCCGCAGCAGTCACGCAGGTGCGCCCGTTCTGAGTCCTCAAGAGACCTTTGTTTCTGATCACCGATCTCGACGTGAACTTTGCAGGGTTTAGATCCAGTGAGGAGGCCACACACACTTCCGCCAGCGTATGTAGTTCATTCCCGCGCTTAGGACAGTTCTGTTTCTGGTCGCCGTCGAAGTGTTACTTGGAAGGCAGCTGGCTGGGCTCACTCCCGTCCACTCAGGGCCCCGTGGGCCGGGGGCTATGGGGACAGTTAACGTGCTGTGAGCAACGATGACATATAAAACCCCAAGTCTTTTGCTCCTTCTTGCCCACCGTGTCCTGGTGTGAGTCACCGAAGTCATATTCTTCTCGGGAATTTCCGTGCCTCCTCCTTAGCCCGGATCCTGCCACGTTGTGGGCAAAGACTCACAAACACTGCCTCCACCTCATGTGGCTGAAAACCCGACGCCGCTGGCCACAGGACCCTGGACGGCAGACCGTACCCTCCTTCCCAGGCCCCGGCCTCCCGTGGCGGGACATGAAAGAAACCCCATCCCCGCCACCAGTTCTGCACCAGTCCTAAGCCCTCCTGATCGGATCTCGAGTCCAGCCACCACTCTCGGTCCCCATCACCTCCTCGGGCCAGGGAGGGCCGTCCTCCCAGCATCACTGCAGAGCTGTCCACGCGGCCTGCCCGATTCCTCTCTGGCCCCACTCTCGTCCGATCTGCCAGCCGGGTGACCCGGAAATCCCGGCTTACCCCTCCATGTCCTCCCACTCCCCATGCTCCTGCCCCGCGGGGCTGCTGCACCTGCTGGGAGGTGGCCGAAGCTTTCCAGAACGGCACTGTGCTACCCTCACTGGTGAGCTGCTCCGCCCCCCGCCCCCCTTTCCCAGGGCCAGCACCTTCCCGTCCTGCGGGGTTCACAGCCTCAGAGAAATCTGCGCTGAGAACCCACGCCGAAGTGAGCCCCCGAGCCCTGTATTTTCCGCCTCGGCCCCTTGTCTCTTTCCTCCCGGGATGGGGCCCTGGCGCCCCACGCTCTTGCATCTCCAGCACAAAACGCAACGCTCGGCATGAGCACGTGCTTGGCGAACATCTCGTTTGTGATTTCCCACTTACTTCCTGGCCAGGTAACCTCTGCAGACAGCCTGGAAGAAGATAATGATGTCGGTAATCTTTAGATCCCTTTCTTCCTCTAAGTGCGCCAAAACGCCAGCTCTGAAAAATATCTTGCTCTGTCCGATTCTGTACAAGTTCGGGTCCAATTCTAAAGCCCGGATCTGAAAGAGAAAGAGTCCGCTTACTCTTGGCCACAGGACAGACTCTGTCAGTAATCCGCAGAGCAGAGAAGTCCAGGAAAGCTTACCATTCGTTCACAAGCCTGCTTGCCGTCCATGAAACCCTTAGGAATAGCATTCGGAGTCAGGATCTCGTATCTGTAAGAAAACCAGCCCAAAAATGTTCCGTAAAAATCTGTGGGAACGTCTTCCTACTAACTGAGTTCTGTTTCTCAAAGAGGCAAGAATGGGATAGGTCATCATGTCACAGGAAGAGTTAAGACATGACAGGGTCCTGATCTGAGATTTTCTGCGGATCTGGTTTCTCTTTCTTAAAACAGGAGGCAAACTGAGCAGGAGCTTAGTTCTCCAAGGACAAACACTGGGTTTAAGAAGTTGTGGTGAAGAGTAAAAGCATGGTGTTTGAAAAAAAATCTTTTGTTTTTCATTTCCCCCCAAACGTTCACAGGCCTAAAATGCAAGGAGAATCTGGCCCTGTGTGTGTGATTTGTAGGCGTTTATTATGTAACCGAGTAATGCCTGGAGGCCTCCACTTCACCAGTAGAAGGTACCAGGGTGACGTTCAAAAAAGCACAGGCCTGGGTCTGCTTGTGCTCGCTGGGCTGTACATTTAAGATCTGGGCACTTTAGGTGGGTCGTACTGCAAGAAAAATACATTTTAGCAAAAATACATCCTACAACACATTGAAGGATGAATCCTGGCTACATCACTCAACTTTATATTCTGGATGCTAATTAAAGTCCCTTTTCTCCTATTAACAAAAAGCAAAATTCTACCATGTTTATCAGACAGTGGGGCCCTGGTAAGGCCTCCCCCAAACCCCTAAACTCTGGAATAGTTTCTCAGCTGGATTCCACCTGGACCGGTGGCAGAAAGCACCCTTCTTTGACCTGCAGACTTGTTTATATGATTGAACAGCCAATGTTGTCATAATTGAAAATCTGATTTCCACGAGAAAAATGAAAAAAAAAAAAAAAAAAGCAAATGGCACAAATACCCAATGATACATAAATTACACGATAACGTTTAAAAAAATCAATTTCTCGTGTTTTCGTTCATTTCTATTGCATTCACTTCTGTTGATCTTCTGCCTTTTTTTCCTTCATCCTTTTCTTTTCTTTCTTTTTTTTTTTTTTTAAAGATTTTATTTATTTATTTGAGACAGAAAGAGAGAGAGAGAGAGAGAGCACATGAGAGGGGGCAGGGTCAGAGGGAGAAGCAGGCTCCCTGCCGAGCAGGGAGCCCGATGCGGGACTCGATCCCGGGACTCCAGGATCATGACCTGAGCCGAAGGCAGTCGCTTAACCAACTGAGCCACCCAGGCGCCCCTCTTCATCCTTTTCTAATCTATCCGATTCCCTCCCCTGCGTGAGTAAAAGGACCGTGCGTACCCACATGCGCACGCACACGGTGGAAAACGTACGTACACGTTTGTACGTAAGCAGACCTATACGGATACATCTTCACTGGAAGTTGGAGAAAAATATCCCCAAACGTTTTCAAGAGTCACTCCTGAGTGATTTTTATTTACTTTTGACTTCGCGAGTTTTACAAATTTTCCTCTGTATAAAGACGACACTCAATATTCTTGGCCAGTAACAAGGTAATAATGATAATAATAATAATCCCTTTCCAGGGTGCCTGGGTGGCTCTGTCGCTGGGCGTCTGCCTTCGGCTCAGGTCGTGATCCCGGGGTCCTGGGATCGGGCCCCGCATCGGGCTCCCTGCTCGGCGGGAAGCCTGCTTCTCTCTCTACCACTCCCCCTGCTTGTGTTCCCTCTCTCGCTGTGTCTCTCTCCGTCAAATAAATAAAATCTTTAAAAAATAATAATTATAATCCCTTTCCTATATGGAAAAGCAACCGAACCTACCCAGAAAGCAAGGACAAAGGTTTCCTCGTCAGTTCCCTGTTTTGATGCACATCAACATAAGCTGTGAAACACATGGGAAAAAAGCCAAAGTTGGCAATACCTCTGTCTGAATTCCTGGAAAACTATCCGGTTGGGGAAGCCCTGGCGACAGATCCGGATTCCTTCCAGGACGCCGTTACAGCGAAGCTGGTCTAGCACCAGGTGCGGGTCCAGTTTTCCAGCCTAATCAAGCAAACGACAGTTGGACACTTTAGTCTTCGCGACCTGACCCGGATGCGCTCTGAACAGCGGCGTACGGTGTGCGGGACACGTACCCGCTTCTCGTGATTGGGAATGATGCAGCGAACGAAGTTAGGGTTGGTGTTCCGGAGGGTCGCCATCAGCTTGGTGAGAGACTCTTTGTAGAGCTGCCCGACGGTCCGGAACATGCCCTTCTTGGTTTTATACGCAGAGCCAAAGGCGGTCTCCGTCATGCCCGTCACCTGATCCAGACCCACGATACGGTCCACTGGTGGAAATAAAAAAGGAAAGGGAAATAAGCCCCCTCGAGCTCTCCCGCGGGGGCAGGAAAGACACAGTGATGGTGCAGCAGGCCAAGCTTTGTGGCACGGATGACAGGAGATGCCATAGAGAGGTAAGGCAGTCAGCGTGTTTGGACACCGCACAAGCCGTGGAACCAACAGCCACACACCCCCATGGCAGGCTCCCGGGTGCGGACAGCTCCATACACATACCAGCAGATGCCTTCGCCTACGCTCGGGGACACACTGCGTCTAGTAGCACTTGGCCTGCGTCACGTGCCAGCACGTGGAGAATGCGGGATCGCCACCAGCATGCCCGGTGCGCGACCGGACACGGCGACAAGTCTCAGGGTAGGAAGCGGCTTACGAACAGACGCGCGTGCACCAAGCACATCCCCTTAGGGAATATGCTGGGGGGCGGGGACGGGACCAGAGGCCTCTCTTCTTCGTCATCGGTCATTCCCGTCTCAGGAACGGAGGCAGGAGGACGGGAGTAGGGGCGGGCAAGCGCCAGGTCCGTCCTCCACGCGGGGGCGGTGCTCCCTGCGGGATGAGCGCGCAGCGCGGGAAGGGGCCTCCCGAGTCCGGGTCTTGGCTGCGTGCGGCGGTGGCGAGACCGCGCGGACGCCTCGCTCCGGTGGCAGCAACAGACCCGGCCCTGCCGAGCGGGACCGCGCGTGGCCCCCAGCGGAGCATCCTGCGCGGAACGTGCCCTCGCTTAGAACAGTCGTGAAGTATTTGCAAAGCACCCAAAGTATCCGCTGAACTCTCCCGGTTGATGCCCCCCCGTCAGTCCCGACAGCCACCCCCACGTCTGTGGTTCGTCCCCCCGACGGGCAGCGTGTGGGGCCCCGGCCCCGGCGGGGAAGCGCTTTATGAGCAAGACGTTGCCCACGTCTCCATTTCCAGCGAGGCTCTTAGGGAGCAGGGAACCACGACCCCGGAGTGAGGTCGCTGTCGCCATCGTGCAGGCCTTAAGTGGAAGTTGGGGAAGGGTCGACGGGATGGGCTTCATTCTCCAGGCCCGTGCACGCACCCCGTCCTACAACATCTGCGAGGCAGAGCCCCCAGACTCAAAGGGCGGGGTCAAGGCCCCTCCTGCCTGTGTCCCCAAGACGGCCCGCCATCCACCTCCGAGGCCGCCCTCTGCCATTCTTTCCCGCACCTCCAACCTGTCCCTCCTCACGGGTTCCGGCAGAAGACCGCGCCCCGCCGCGCCCCTGCACGCGCCACCAGACCCTGAACGTCCCTTGACCCTGCGTCCACCCACTTCTCTGTCTCCTCAGCGCCGAGCTTCTTTCGGGAACCGTTCGCACGCTCGGCACTGCTCACGCCTTGCACGAGTTCCCACTCCCCGGGCAGCTGCCTGGCTTCCAGTCCGCCCTCCGCCCCCTGCCCGGGGCCACTCCGGCAGGGACAGGTCGGTCGCTCAGCGGACACCATCCGGTGTCCACCTGACCCTGGTGCGTCTGTGGGCCATCCCGACGGCGTTCTAGGAACTCCCTCCAGCCCCAGCTTCTGCTCTGGACCCCCACCCAGCTCTATGGCCACTCTGGTCCCCCTGGTGACTTCTTTTCCTGAGCATCATGGCCCTCGCTGGGGGTCCAAACTCCACTCAGCCCCGAAACCCAAGGAGAGGCACACGCTACTTGACCTGCTTGTCTCAAGGCACATTCTCGTCCTGGGGGCTCTCGTTTGCGGCTTGAACTGGCTCCACCTGACGACCCTGCACCAGTCACCAGACACTGGTTTCTCCTGCCTGCTCAGGAGTCACAAAGGCGCCTCTGCCTTCCACAAATTCTTGTGACGTGCCCGGCGTGACGTCTGGCGTCTGGCCCATCACAGGCTGGACGCGTATGTTAGGGAATAAACACAGCAAACGTCGAATACGTCTACAATTACCGACAGCGAGAAAAGCACTGGAAGAAAGGATGCTACGAAAGAGACAGGGGGTCGGAAGTCCCTCTGGAGAAATTTCTCTTTCCTGCCCAACGGGTAAGCACGAGCCCGTGGAGAGCAGACCATTCCAGGCGGCGGGAACAGCACGGAAGGACCAGGGGCAGGAGAAGTGACAGTAGCCCATGCCAAGGACGCACGACACGCACGGAGATTTGGGGCGCCCAGAACCGGCTGGGGAGGGGTCACCGGAGAGGGGACGGCTGGGCCAGTCCAGGCTCCGAGAGAGATGAGGGGAGTGGAACCCGTGATCGCAGGGGACAGGGAGAGAGGAGGAGGATACGACACATCTTTTGGTGGGAGGACGACTTGCTCTGATGATTAAGCTGATGTCGAAACTACGACAGACATGTCAAGAGTAAGTCCTAGGACTTCGGCTGGGGGTGTCACTGCAAGATGGGGGAGAAGTGCTCTTTGTGCCCCAAATCCTCCAGGTTCGGGGCACGTGAGGCACCAGAACATTCCGGCCTGCTGCTAAGAAGAAAGGCCTGCACTAGGAAGGCAGATGTGGGAGCTGTCGACTTGGGGAGTAGTCACGGGACCGATGGGCCAGCTCGGGGGGACCAAGCTGGGGAGAGAGGAGGAGCCAGACGGGAGGAGCGGGGAGCAGCAGCCAGAAGCAGGAGGGGCAGGTCAAAGTCCTACAGAGCACGTTCTCTGCCGCACCGTCCACCCTGGTCCTCCTCGTGGGCCTCCCACGCAGAGGGACCCCCGGGACGGAGGCCAGAGACCAGGCGTCCCCTCGACTGCCCTTATACCAGCCACTCGCCAAAACTGGCCAAGCCAAACCTCGAAATGTCTTCCATCTGTCCCTCCGTTCCACGGCCCTCGTTTGGGCTCTCACTGCTCCCCCGGATTCCTCCCTGCAGTACCCTCCTGCCTGCTCCTTCCTCCTCTCCCCGAGCCGCCACGCTGGTCTTGCCATGGAGGCCTCTGGTCCCAGGGTCGTGATTCACAGGTCTTTCTAAAAAGACCTACCTGAGCAAGTTCTTTATTCCTATACTTCAAATCCTTCCGTTTCTCCTGCAGCTTGTAGGGTACGGTCTGAATCCCCGAGCCCGGGAGTGTAGCCAGTGATGCAGAACTCGGTCCTGAGCCAGAAACACCTGCCCCTCACGAGCTCTGTGATCTGGAGTCAGCTCACCCGGCTGCTGGAAGTCTCAGTCGCTTCCTCGGTCAACGGAGCTACCGTGACCGACCTCAGACGAGTTTGCGAACATTCCAGAGCTTGATGAAGGGACCTCCGGCCACTTTCCCCACACCTGAAGCCCCAACTACAAACTAGGTGCATTTTCTCAGAGACCAGGCCCTCGGGTCTTGTCCTTTGCTCTCTGCCTGGAATTCCCACCCCTCTTTCCGGCCATCCTGGCAAACACCTCTTGGCTTTTAAATCCTCACTCCTCTACCCAGCTAACTCTTCTTAGGCCCCGGTGTCCACCCTGCGTCCAGACTCAGTGGGCCCCTCCCTCCTCTAGGCTTCCAATCGCTTAGGCCAGATCCTAGGACAACGTCCACTGTGTTCTGTGCATCTTCCCGCAGCACGGGGCTCCCCCGGGGAGAGCTCTCCAGCACCTGGCGCATGCACCCAGGGCCCTAAGAGCCGGGGCCTGGTGTCTCTGGACCCCTCCGACCACCAGCTCGGACGATGTCCCCTGCTCTCCAACACTGGCCTCAAAGTGTGCAAGCACACCGGAGTCACATGGTAAACATCCCCTCGGTGGGCGCGGTTACCCACAAGAACAAGTCACCGCCACAGCCAAGGAGGAGGGGTGCCCTGTTTACGTGGCCGGGACTTGGCTGGGCTGGTTTTGCCAGTCTGTAGCCTGTGAGGGGAGTCCTTCGACAAGCTGTCAGCCGGTGTCGAAGCATGCGGTCCCGAGCGGGAGCTGCTTTTTACACTGAAAATGAAAAACCAATCACAATGAACCTGATTCTCAAATTAAGGGAACCCAAAGCTAAATACTTGGGTTTTTAAAACATTAATGCTTTGGACTTCCAGCTCTCTTTTTTTTGTTTATAAAAATTTATAAAACAATAAATTAAAATTTATTTTATTATTATTATACTTAAAGATTTCATTTATTTGACAGAGAGACAGCGAGCAGGAACACAAGCAGGGGGAGAGAGAGAGAGAGGCAGGCCTCCCGCTGAGCAGGGAGCCCGATGCGGGGCTTGATCCCAGGACCCCGGGATCATGCCCTGAGCCGAAGGCAGACGCTTAACAGATTGAGCCACCCAGGCGCCCCTTTAGTTTAAAAATTTAAACGAAGGTTCGTTTCTAACAACGAGCAAAATTATCTCCTGGGTAAAAGAAAGATACTTTGAGAGCTTCATTAAATGATTGGGGCCACACTACTATTATGGGATCTCATTCTAAAATCAAGGCCCAGAAAAACCTCTATTTAAAGAGAATATTCTCTTGGGGCGCCTGGTTGGCTCAGTGAAGCTTTCAACTCTTGATTTGGGCTCAGGTCATGATCCCAGGGTCGTGGGATCAAGCCCCACCGCAGGCTCCGCCCTCACCATGGAGTCGACTTGAGATTCTCTCTCTCTCTCTCAAGTAAATGAATAAATAAAAAGAATGTTTTCTTGTTGAGGGGCGCCTGGCTGGCTCAGTCGGCGGAGCATGCGACTCTTCATCTTGGGGTCCTGAGTTCGAGCCCCACGTTGGGGGTAGAGATTACTTAAAAAACAAACAAAAAAAACTTTAAAAATGAGACCTGCGAGGGCTACTTTTGCCTCCGGGGAACGGAGGGCTTGGCTTGTGGCTCTGCTGCCGACTCCCCCATCTGCTGTGTCAGGACGGCCTGGCCAGGCTTGCTGGTGGGCATCGTACAATTATTTGGTCATCCACTAGCCGGAAAAGAATTGGGAGTATTTTACCCTAGCAGTTTATTCCTCTATAAAGACTTACGTGGACAGTGAGAAATCGGATGAGCCCCGCAGACCTACCATCTGTATGGGCACACTTAGGATTTAGAAGAAAAGTGCAATTTGTAATCATCAGTCTCATAAAGCGGCTACGGACGGT